ATTCATACAGTAAGTGTCCATTTAACTTAAGAAACTTCCCAACTGTCTTCCAAAGTGGTTGTGCCATTTTCCACTCCCACAGGCACTCTCTGAGAGTTTCAGTTCCTCCACGTCCTTGTCAACACTTGGTGTGGTCAGCCTTTCATTTTAGCCATTTTGGTGGGTGTGTCATGGTATGTCATTGTGACGTGATTTCTATTTCTTTGAGGACTATTAATGTCAAATGTCTTTTCTTGTGCTCATTGCCCATTCTAGGTCTTCTCTGTGCTGAATTTCAAACTGTGTAAAGGTAATACCTATTTAAAAGTATATGATCACACCCATTGGGATGGCTTGTATCAAAAAAATAGAAGATAACAAATGTTGGCAGGGATGTAGAGAAACTGGAACTCACTATTCACCCAGGCGCTACAACCATCTCTAACCCCCTTCTTGTCTCCACCCTAATACCCGGTCCGTGAACATAACCCATTGCCTCCAAATATGGCCACTTTTCTCCTTCTCCATGCTATTACATGAATCCAAGCCACCATAACTTCTACCTCTGGCCTCCCTGAGGTCATTCTTGCCCACTACCACTAGTCCCCTAAACATTCTCCACACAGAAACCAAATGACCTTTCACCAAAACTCTTTAAAAAACTTTTTATTTTGAAATAATTTTCAACTTAGAGAAGATTCGTGCTAGGAACTAAATGTTTGTGTCTCCCCTAAACGCATATGTTGAAACTTAACTCCCAATGTGATGGTATTAGAAGGTGGGAGCTTTGGGAGGTGATTAGGTCATGAGGATGGAGCCTTCATGAAAGGAATTAGGGCCCTATAAGAGAACTGGTGATCTCTCTCTCCTTCTCTCTCTGTCTCTCTCAGCCATGTGAGGATGTAGCAAGGAGGCAATTGTCTACAATCTAGGAAGTGGTCCCTCACCAGACATTGGCTATGCCAGCGCCTTTAGTCTTGGACTTCCCAGCCTCCAGAACTGTGAGAAATAAATGTTTCTCATAAACTCACCCAGTCTATAGTATTTTTATCATGGCAGCTCAACAGGCTAAGATAATTTGCAAAATTGGCACCCTGCAAAGTTCTTGTCTACTCTTCACCCCACTGGCCCGCATATTAACATCTTGCATAACCATGGTACACTTGTCACAAAGAAGAGATTAACTAACATGACACAATGCTGTTCATTAAACTACAGACTTAGGGGGTGCCTGGGTGGCTCAGTTGGTTAAGTGGCTGCCTTCGGCTCGGGTCATGATCTCACGGTCCTGGGATCAAGTCCCATATCGGGCTCCCTGCTCAGCGGGAAGCCTGCTTCTCCCTCTCCCCCTCCCCCTGCTGGTGTTCCTGCTCTCACTATCTCTCTCTCTGTCAAATAAATAAATAAAATCTTAAAAAAAACAAAAACAAAAACAAAACTACAGACTTAGTATGAATTACACCAGTTTTCTCTCTGATGTCCTTTTCAGGTCCAGGATCTCATCCGGGACATCACATCATATTTCATTTATCACATCTCCTAAGACTTCTCTAATCTGTGCCAATTTCTTGGTCATGCTTTGTTTCTCACGACCTTGACATTAAAAAAAAAGATTTATTTACTTATTTGAGAGAGAGAGAGCGAGCAAGTGGAGGGGAGGGGCAGAGGGAGAGAGGGAGAGAATCTCAAAGCAGACTCCACACTGAGCACAGAGCCCAACACGGGGCCGGATCTCAAGACCCGGAGATCATGACCTGAACTGAAACCAAGAGTCAGATGCTTAATCGACTGAGCCACCCAGGTGCTTCCTCATGACCTTGACATTTTTGAAGTGTCCTAGTCAGGTCTTTTGTAGAATGTCCCTCAATTTGGGACAAACATCTGATGTTTTCTCATGAGTAGATTGAGGTTATAGGTTTGGGAGACAATACCAGGGAGGTTATGTGTCCTCATTACATCATATCAGGGATCCATGCACATGATTCATTGCTATGATGATAATTTTTTTTTAAGATTTTGTTTCTTTGGGGCGCCTGGGTGGCTCAGTCGTTAGGCGTCTGCCTTCGGCTCAGGTCGTGATCCTAGGGTCCTGGGATCCTAGCCCTGAGCCCCATGTCGGGCTCCCCGCTCCGCGGGAAGCCTGCTTCTCCCTCTCCTGCTCCCTCTGCTTGTGTTCCCTCTCTCGCTGTGTCTCTCTGTGTCAAATAAATAAATAAAATCTTTAAAAAAAAATAAATAAAAAGATTTTGTTTATTTATTTGAGATAGAGAGAGAGAGTGAACATGAGGGGGGAGGGGCAGAGGGAGAAGCAGGCTCTCTGCTGAGCGGGGAGCCTGACGCAGGGCTCAATCCCAGGACCTCAGGACCATGACCTGAGCTGAAGGCAGACGCTTAACAGACTGAGCCACCCAGGCGCCTCCCCTGGGATGATATCGTTGTTACCTGGTTGAGATAGTATCTGCCAGGTTTCTCCACGGTCAAGTTACTTTTTGCACTTTCCATACTTTTATTCCTTAGAAGCAAGTCACTAAATTAATCCGGTTCACACCCAACAAGGTGAATTAATCTCCACCTCCTGGAAGGAGGAATATCAAACAATCTGTGGATATTTTTTTTTTTTTTTTGAGAGAGAGAGAACGCATGTATGAGTGCTCGGGTAGGGGTGGGGTGGGGGTGGGGGTAGGGAGGGGCAGAGGCAGAGAGAGAGAATCCCAAGCAGGCTCCACACCCAACACGGAACCTGAGGCAGGGCTCAATCCCACCACCCTGAGATCATGACCTGAGCCTAAATCAAGAGTCAGACACTTAACCTACTGAGCCATCCAGGTGCCCCTGTGGACATATATTTTTAAAAACCCAATAATTAATAAATATTTTAGAAGAGATACTTTTAGGGTAAGCAAATGTTGCGTTTCTCCTTGAAGTTTCACCCACTAATTGGTAGATCTTGCTTGCTGCAATTATAACTGTGGTGTTTGTCTGATAATGATTTTTTACTTCCCTCATTCCTTCTATACTTATTAATTAGACATCTTCTATATGGAAGGGTGGTCTCTTTTCCCCTATTTTTATTCAATCATTTATTTATACCAGTATGGACTCATTGGTATTTATTTCTTTGGATCACAATGATCTTTTATTGTTAGGGGTTTTTTTTAAGATTTTATTTATTTATTTGACAGAGAGAGCACAAGTAGGCAGAGGGAGAGGGCGAAGCAGGCTCTCCGCTGAGCAGTGAGCTGGACGTGGGGCTCAATCCCAGGATCCTGGGATCATGACCTGAGCCAAAAGCAGCCGCTTAACCAACTGAGCCACCCAGGCGCCCCATTAGTTTTTTTTTTTAAGTAAACTCTTTACCCAACATGGGGCATGACCTCAAGGCCCTGAGATCAAGAGTTGCATGCTCTACGCACTGAGCCAGTGAGGCACCCCATGGATCACAATGATCTTTTAAATCTCATAGCAGATTCCATCATCTACTAAAAACCTTCCAGAGACTTCCCTTTCTGCTTAAGAGTAAAATCCAACTATCTTGCTTACCAACACTCCCTGCCTGGTTCCCAGTCCTTATCTGTCTTCCTTGGTTATTTTTTTTCCTTGCTCATTCCTGCTTTGGCCCAATTGGCCTTTTTGTGGTCTCTCAGTCATGCTACCCTCATCCCTCTGAAGGCTTTGTCTTCGCTGGAATATTTCTCTTCCTCACCTGCACAGGGCCCCTCTCTGACTGTCCCGAGCAGCCTTCTTTCTTCCCTTTGATTTCTTTCTTTTTTTTTTTTTTTTTAAAGATTTTATTTATTTATTTGACAGAGAGAGACACAGCGAGAGAGGGAACACAAGCAGGGGGAGTGGGAGAGGGAGAAGCAGGCTTCCCGCGGAGCAGGGAGCCGGATGCGGGCCTTGATCCCAGGACCCTGAGATCATGACCTGAGCCAAAGGCAGACGCCTAACGACTGAGCCACCCAGGCGCCCCTCTTCCCTTTGATTTCTAATCCTACCTGAAATTAGGTAACCGAATTCTTATTTCCTTGTAAATCTATTTCCTTGTTTATCACCCGTCTTGTTCACCAGCGCCTAGACCATAGTAGGTGCTCAATAAATACTTGTTGACTAAATGAATGCATGAGGCTGGAAGAATGTGAAGAGCAAGATCCATTCACTTCCTCCCTGATTATAGTCACAGTTGAGGTATACGCATGTCAGGTACTCAGCACTACACTGTAAGCCTCAGTTTCATCCTGTGTAAAATGGACATAATAAAAGGACCTATCTGCAAAACTGTTGCAAAGATTAAAAGAGCAAACGCCACATGAAGACGATACTCCTAGCAGACATTCAACAATTATTATTACTGTCATCTGTAAAATGGGCACAACAGCGATCTACTACATAGAATTTTTGTAAGCTCAGAACCATGTCTAGTACATGTAAAGTGCTATATAAGCGATCGATGCTATCATCGATCATCATCATCATCCCACCAGGCCGCCCCCAGCCCATCTGAAAGATGTTCTCATTTAATCTCATTTTTTTTTTCCTTTGGCAAAGCCCTTTCCTCGGCCTGGCCGGGTGGCCCCAGGATACTCGCCAGGCCTCTGTGCATCCGGATAGGGCGCTGTGGGGACTCCGGCAGGTGTGAACTGGGGGCTCCGATCGCCCCGCCCACGGGCCTGGACCGCCCGCGGTCTCCATGGAAACCCACCAGGCACAGGGGGGCGTGACGCCGCCGAGAGGGATAGGGGCCTTCGCCTATCCGGTCAAAGTCATCTCGGCAAGGGGCGCAAACGGGGCCTCTGATGGGTGCGTCCTTGCGGAAAGGCGGGAATACGGCGGCGAACCACGGGGGTTGTACCATCTCTACCAGTCAAGGGCCGAGGTGGCTATGATGGACAGGCCTAGCGGGAAGAGGCCCCGAGTGCGGGCTTTCACCCAACCGACCGGCCTCAATGCCGAGAAAGGGCCAATGAGGAGGCGGCGGGGGTGGGACGAAAAGGCCGGTTGCTCCGGAAGTGGAGGGAGGGGGTGAAAATGGCGCCCAGCTCGAAATCGGAGCGGAACAGCGGGGCCGGGAGCGGCGGTGGCGGCCCCGGGGGCGCCGGGGGGAAGCGGGCAGCGGGGCGGCGGCGGGAGCACGTCCTCAAGCAGCTGGAGCGGGTCAAGGTAAGGCCTGAAGTCTGGGAGGAGCGCGCCGGAGGGTGGGGAGATGCGACGAGGGAGGCGGAGGGAGGGAGGGCGTTCGCGGGGTGAGGGGTTGGGGGCGGAGCCCCGGGGGAGGGGGCTCGGAGGAAGGGGGCTGGGCGGGGCCCAGGGGAGAGGGCTTGGATGGAGGGGGCTGGGACGGGAGTTTGGATGGAGGGGGCTGGGGGCGGGGTCCCGGAGAGGGGGCTCGGATGGAAGGGGTGATGGGGGTGGCCGAGAAAGGGCTTGGATGGGAGGGGGTCTCTGGAGGAATAAGGAAGAAGGGGGCGATCCAGGGTCAGACTCATTTTTCCAAAACCCTGCTCCCATGGCCCCTCCGTTATGGAGCCTTCCCGCCCCCTTGGCGGAGCCCCTGCTACCGGCTTTGGGCTTCCTCTGCCTGGTGTTCCTCTCTGTGTCCCGGCTCTGACCACACGGGAGCTGGGAGTTCCTGTACCTGTGTCCGCCTCCCCCATTGAATGGGAGGGACCTCCTTGGAGAAAGCCTGGTCTTTCCCCTCAGATTGGGAGCTCCCTGAGCAGGGCTCTGTCTTCTCCATCAGACAGTAAACTCACAGCATGCCAGCATATATCTCCCGCATCGGTTCGGGAGCTCTGGGAGGGCAGACACGTGAATCTGTTGTCAGGTCAGCAGCAATCTGGGCAGAACTGCATCCCTGTGGATAGGGGGAGCACCTTCTCCATTAGGCTGGGAACTCCGTGAGGGCAGCTCTGTGTCTCCTCCTTTTGACGAGGTCCTGGGGCAGGGACAGTCTCCGCCTTCAGCCTGGTTGTTCCCTGGGTTGGGCTGTGGCTCCACCCTTAGCTTGGAAGCTCCCTGGATAGGGATTGTGTCTCCACTGTCAGCCTGGACCTCACCAACAGGGCTGTTCCATCAGACTGGGATCCCCTTGAGGAGTGGGCTGTCTCCCCCATCTGCTAGGGAGCTCCCCAGATAGGTCTCTTTCCCATCAGACTGTACTCTCTTGAAGGCAAGGCCAAGTATCTCACTCAGACTGGGCTCTAAGACTCAGGGTGCTCTCTGATGCCCTACTCCGCAGCTTGTGCCTGCCTGCCTCCCCCCCCAAATCCTTCCTTGAAGTTTTTGGGATGAGGGAGTCGGTTAGAAGGCAGCTAGATTAGTTGAGAAGGGGGAATTGGGCAGGAATTGGAAGGTCACTGGTCAGCCCCACTGTTCTGCCTCAGTGGGTCTCCAGCTGAAGCCAAGGCCGTCCCAAAGGTCCTGAGCACCCTTTGTGTAAGCTAGTGGGTCAGGGACAGGTGAGTTCAGTTGGTCAAGCCTCCTTAGGGGTCGAGGACACCCACAGGTCAGTGCACCATGAAGCAGCCTTCAGGAAGTCAGCCAGTGGCCCATTGTGACTGGGGAACCTTCCTGGGGGTGGGGGGTGATACCATTGCTGGTCCTTAGAACCTGGGTGCTTGGGCAAGAGGGGCTCTGAGGCTGGAGAGATGTGGGGCCAGGAGGGTGGCATGGGTCCCTGGTGGAAGGGGAGGCTCAGGTGAGGCCCAGCTGATCTTCCCCAGCTATTCCGACCTTCCAGAGCTTGGACCACTCTGACCGTCATGGTTATTAGGAAGTGGGCCTATGTGTCTGGGCCAGACCTTGGGGGTGCTAATCTGCTTTAGGTGAGGGGCCTGGGGGTGATGGTACCTCATGAGCCAGGGCCACCCCTTCCCCAGATCAGTGGGCAGCTCTCCCCTCGCCTCTTCCGGAAGCTGCCGCCCAGGGTCTGCGTCTCCCTCAAGAACATTGTGGACGAGGACTTTCTCTACGCAGGGTGAGGCTGCGTGAGGCTGGGCTGAGGTGGGGGAGGTGGCGGGGGAGCTGGGCGGAGGCGGCAGACTGGTCCTGACCTGCTGTTCTGCCCCCACCCCCACAGACACATCTTCCTGGGCTTTTCCAAGTGCGGCCGTTACGTTCTCTCGTACACCAGCAGCAGCGGGGACGATGACTTCTCCTTCTACATCTATCATCTCTACTGGTGGGAGTTCAACGTCCACAGCAAACTCAAGCTGGTAGGGCCGGGCCCAGGGCTGGGCTTTCCCTTCCAGCAGCATGACCAGCAGATCACAGCATCCCCCTGAGCCTCAGCTTCCTCGTCAGTAAAGTGGAGAAATTCTACTCCAAGGGTCATTGTCAGTATTCCATGTATTTGGTCAAAGCACATGCAGTTGCCGTTTTTATAGTTGAAAGTGGGTAGATAGCGGCACTTCCGTGTGGTTCGACTCAGCAACCATGCCTGTCTAAGAAGGACATGGCAGGCTCAGGCCAGGTGGGACCCAGTAGCTTTGCTAGCCCGTTCGCTTAACCCTGACTTTGATTCCTTGACCGCCCCCTTCCAGAAGGTGAGTGCAGTTACCCCAGTTTACACATGAGCTCGGAGAGGTGAACAGCTTTCAGGGTGGATTGGGCCTGGAACTGATGTGTCTGGCAGAGTCCCCTTTCTTGGGGCAGGGCTCTCCTCAGCTTCCGCCTGTGCCAGGCTGGCCTCCCTGGTTCCCCTCCGCGTAAGGGGAGCCTCCCCAGCCTGTCCTCAGGAAGGCGGAGGGGTATGGTATAGGAGCTGCTTGGGACTCCCTGGCTCGAGCCACCCCCCTCCCCAGAAAGGGTGCTCCTGCCAGCTCAGCCCCAGCTCTGATTCTAGCCCAGCATGGTGCAGCCTCGGGTCCCCTACGCCCCCCACCCTACCCGCTATGACCGCATACCGACCCTGAACGTGCTGTTCAGGTCCGGCAGGTACGGCTCTTCCAGGACGAGGAGATCTACAGCGACCTGTACCTGACCGTGTGCGAGTGGCCCAGCGATGCCTCCAAGGTCATCGTCTTCGGCTTCAAGTAAGACTTGGGGACACGGAAGGCCTGGGGACCGGGGAGGGTGGGGCGTGGACCAGGTTGCTGAAGGAGTGAGTGCCGGCCCCCAGCACCCGCTCGGCCAACGGGATGCTCATGAACATGATGATGATGAGTGACGAGAACCACCGAGACATCTACATCAGCACTGTGGCCGTGCCGCCACCAGGCCGCTGCGCCGCATGCCGGGAAGCCAGCCGGGCCCATCCAGGTGAGTGGCTGGGGGCCTCGGGGTGCGGGCTGCCTCCCTGCCCCAAGGCCATGAGTGAGCCCACGGGGCATGTGTTGCTACAGGCGACCCGAGTGCACAGTGCCTGCGGCACGGCTTCATGCTGCACACCAAGTACCAGGTGGTCTACCCCTTCCCCACCTTCCAGCCTGCCTTCCAGCTCAAGAAGGACCAGGTGGTGCTGCTCAACACCAGCTACTCTCTGGTGGCCTGCGCCGTCTCAGTCCACTCGGCAGGTAGGCCCCCCGGTCTGATGATGGGCCTGGCACCTGCTGGAATCCTCAGAGCCCCCAGTCCCCTGACCCCGAATGAGGTCTGGAGAGGCGAAGTCCCCTGTCCGAGGTCACTCGGCTGGAAAGCGGGAGTACGGACTCCAAAGCCAGCCATGCTCCACCCCAGCTCTGTCTGCCGGGTCTGCCTACACCTGCCCCCAGTAGCCACTTGCAAGTGGCTTGCGTGATTAAGGAACTGAGTTTTTAATTTCAGTTAAATTTAGTTGAGTTCAAACAGCCACACATGGCCATGGCTACCATGCTGGGTGGCACAGTGCTCTTTTCAAAAATCTAAAATTTCAGGGAGTTGTTAGTGGACATATGGCTGTCGTATGTCTTTGGGAATAGAAAAAGTGCCAGTGGAGATCACAAGGTGATGTCCCTTGACAAGGTGGCCAAAGTTAAGCTGGATGATGCTACCGGCTGGTGGTGATGTGCGGCCCCGGGGCCTCCCCTGCACTCTCGGGGCTGCACGGCAGCAGTGTGACCACAGTCCTGCACCTGGGCATGTCCAAGGCTTTGGGGGCTGCCTGCTGTCCATCCCTGGGGATCAGGGAAGTGGGACAAGGCAGGTATTCTCTTGGATCAGCAGCCCCAGTGGGTGCCCAGCATGCATGTCCATGGAGTGTTGCCTTAAAGATGTGCTCCAGTGCAAGAGAAACGGAAGGAGATCTATAACCAGATAATGATACCACTTACATATAAATTAAAAATGTTCCGATTTTGCAAGAACCCAGTCAAATGAAAAGACCCCCGCTAACTACATTAAAATGGTTGCCCTTGGGAGAGGGAGGGGAGCGGATATGAAAAGAGAATTAAATGTATATAACTGAGCCCCCACATCAACAAGGGCCAGGATGCCTTATCCCCAGGCCCATCCAGGGGCCTCCTGACCCTGGCTTCCTGAGCCGCTGTGGGCAAGGCCCTGCCCCTCGTCAAGCTGTGAGCCCCCAACAAGCCAGGCCTTGCTGAGGTCCATGCCCCCCGGACTTGTGGCTATGGGTCTCTGTAGGAAGGGCCCTGTGGGACAGGACTCAGCTGTGCGCATTCAAGGGTGAGGGGGGCACTGTCACCCATGTCTGTCACCTCACCATTTACACAGAAGGGGAGTGAGTTTTGTCCACGCTGGTGGACAGCAGTGCATTGGTTCGCATTGTGTTGCAGTGTGACCTTGGACAAGTTTCTCTCTGAGCCTCAGTCCTTAGTCTCTGAACTGGGAGGACATGGCCCCCACCCTCCCAGGATTGATTGTGGGGGGTCCTACGGAGGTGGTGCCCAGCTCCCGGTGCTGCTCGTTGAGTGCGTTAGGGTTGTCCATGCTGCGCCCACATCCCCCAGAGGGGGGGACCGGTCCCTAGTCAGGCAGAGACAGATGGAGGCCTGGGATTTGGCTGCTGTGTGCCCAAGCCAGTCAGCTCCCGTTGGGGAGGATGCATGGCTGTGTAGTAAACTTCACTTTTGTCACTGTCAGCCCCCCAAGGGCAGGGAGTTTTGTGTCTTATTTGTTCATGTCCTTAGTGTGTGGCATTTGGTAGATGCTCAAAACTCAAGTCTGAACGAAAGTGTTGCTTATGTCCACGCGCGTGTGTGTGTATAAGGCCTTTTTCCCTTCTGAGTGTTTCTGACTGATCTTTCAACATAGGTGAGTCTTGTAGAAGGGTCTGTGGATTTCTAAGAACAGCCCCCCGGGGCGGTGAGGGCAGTTGGCAGTGTCCTAAACTTGACCTCGTCTGTTGATCACCCCCCACCTCCCTCTCTGGTTTTTGTTCCAGGCGAGAGCAGCTTCTGCCAAATCCTGTATGACCACACCACCTGCCCCCCGGCCCCTCCCAGCCCCCCTGGGCCCCAGAGCCCCGAGGTGCCCCCCGCCCTCCCCAGCCCCTGCCCTGAAGCAGCCCCCGCCCGGCCCCCCGGGGCCCCCGAGCCCTCGCCCGCCGTCGCCAAAGCCAAGGAGTTTGTGGCCGACATCTTCCGTAGGGCTAGAGAGGCAAGGGGGGGGGCCTTGGAGGAAGCCCGGCCGCCCCCCTGCCCGGGGCCATCGGGCAGCCGCTGCCGTCTGCCCTCGGAGCCCCTGGCCCAGGGCGGGGAGGCGGCACCCCGAGACAGCCCCCCTGCGGCCGAGGCGCCCGCCCCGGAACCTGGCTACGTCAACTACACCAAGCTATACTACGTGCTGGGCTCCAGCGAAGGGACAGAGCCGGAGGACGGTGAGCCGGGACCCCACCCAGCGGGCAGGGCCCCCACCCCCTACCCCCTACCCCCTACCGCTACCCCCACGTCCTGTTCCCTTAGAGTTCGAGGATGACAAGATCTCCTTGCCCTTTGTGGTGACTGATCTCCGTGGCCGTAACCTGCGGCCCATGCGGGAGCAGGCCGCCGTCCAGGTTGGTGCCATTGGGGGGGTGGGCGGCCCTCCCCCGGGGAGTCTGCGGGGGTGGCAGTTGAAGCAGCCCTCCCCGGCCCACTGCCCACAGGGTCAGTACCTGACGGTGGAGCAGCTCACACTGGACTTTGAATACGTCATCAACGAGGTCATCCGCCATGATGCCACCTGGGCCCACCAGTTTTGTTCCTTCAGTGACTATGACATTGTCATCCTGGAGGTGGGCCCCGGGGAGGGGGACAGGGCGGGCCCAGGGCCTCTCTGTTCTGGGCGTCACCTCAGTAGCTGTCCCTGTCATCCCTGCCCCTTCACCTGCCCGCCCCCAGGTCTGCCCGGAAACCAATCAGGTCCTCATCAACATCGGCCTGCTGCTTCTGGCATTCCCGTCCCCCACCGAGGAGGGCCAGCTCCGGTGAGCGAGCGGGAGCAGAGAGGCCCCTCGTCTGCACAGCAGGAGGCCATGCTCAGCTGCTTCTGCGGGGGTGGGCGAGTTGGGACGGGAGATGACTTCCCCTGCCCCCAAAACCTGGACCGCGCACTCCATTACTGCTCCAAAGACAGAAGACCCTCAGGGTCGCCCGGGTCCCAGCTGAGGGACCCATTGGTCCCATCTCTTTCTCCTTTGCCCCCCACCCCACTGCAGACCAAAGACCTATCACACCAGCCTCAAGGTGGCATGGGACCTCAACACGGGCATCTTCGTGACAGTCAGTGTTGGTGACCTCACCGAGGTCAAGGGGCAGACCAGGTGAGGTGGGGCTGGGGCTGGGGGCCGGGGGCCGGGGTGCGTGGCCTGGGTGATGAGAGCCCTCACCCCCTTGCCCTCAGCGGCAGCGTCTGGAGCTCATACCGCAAGAGCTGCGTGGACATGGTCATGAAGTGGCTGGTGCCGGAGAGCAGCGGCCGCTACGTCAATAGGATGACCAATGAGGCACTGCACAAAGGTAGGCCCTGTGACCTGATGACGGTCAGGACCGAGGTCCTTCTCTGGTGCCATGCCAGGCCTAGAGCACGTGCGGATTCCTCAGTGTTCCTGAATGGAGTCTGCTGGCCGTGCTAGTGGAACTAGAGTGAGGGGAGGGCAGGCTCCGGGAGGACCGGGCAGGTGTGGCACCTGGGGACCCCCAGCCAGTGCATACACTCATTCAGCAGACCTCTACTGGGAGGCCGCCGGTGGGAGGCCTGCAGGATAACTCAGCAGGGTCGCTGCCTTCTGGAACCTTGTGGTCCAAATCAAGTCAGGGAAAGAGGCAGGCCCCTCCCCTCAGCCTGGGCCTGCAGACTCCATGGCTCCCTTCTGACCCTTCCCTGCAGGGTGCTCACTGAAGGTTCTGGCAGACAGTGAGCGATACACATGGATTGTGCTGTGAGGGCCCGGCCGTTCTGGACACTGACTCCAACTACCTCCGTGGCCTGGGAGCCGGCCCGCCTTCCTGGCAGCCGTTCCCCGGCTGGCCGGCCAACCGACGACCGGCCGACCGACGAGACGACCGACTGACGGGGCCGGCACTCGTGTTAGGCTGCGGGGAAGGGGGCTGGGCGGGGCAGCCCCTGGTGGCCTGAGAGTCCGGACGCTTCTTATTTATGCCTATTTAAGTTGGGAAGGGGCAGAGGGAGGGAGCCCCCTGCCCCCCCAGCCTCAAGCGCCCACCTTCACCCTGCGCTGGGCACAGGCCCTTGCTCTCTGTGCATCTGCCCCTTTCCTTGGCTACAGGTGTGGACATTGCCCCCCAGGGAGGCCAAATGGACCCCCTTTCCCTGCCCGCCCCAGCCTCCCCCCGCCTGAGGTGGCAGACCTCGTGGCCATCCCCTGCCCCGCCCATCGTTCCTCTTCATGTAATAAATGTTTTATTTCTGAACCTCCTTGAATTCCCCTTACTGCCGCTCGAGGCCCAGTCAGAGCCCCGGCCGCAGGGCCCCGCAACTCAGCAGCAGCCACATAGCACAGCGGAATTTATTGTGTTTTAAGAAAGACTACAAAAAGGTAGAAAACAGCTCGGCACACTAGACTACCACACGCGTGGACACTTTCACGGCCGGGGGGGGTGGGGCCCGAGGGAGTGGGGAGGGGACATGGGGGGGCCACCCCAAAAGCTGTAGCACGCGGAGCACACAAAATAGTGATTTTTATACAATAGGTCAGATCTTTTTTTGTCTTTTTTTTTGTCTTTTTTTTTTTTTTTGCTTTTTGCCATAAACATCTATCTCACAGGTTGAAGACACTGAGAAAACCGGAACAGATAAGGCCATGATGGTTGGAAAAAAACCAACAAGTTACCAACTCCGCTCAGGCGGCTCACAAATCGCACAATAGTCATGTGGGGGGCGGGTCGCACTGCACGGAGGAGAAGCACAGTCTCCCGGGAGAGAAGGAGCACAGAGGTTCCATTACAAACCGGAGGCGGGTGGCCTGGGACGCCGGGGTCTTGGATCTGAGGGAGCCGAGCCCCCAGCCGGGGCCGGGACAGGCGTGGGCACTTCCGGGCCCCACTGCCAGCAGCAGGCCCCTCTGGACTCCCACGCCCAGCCCAGCCTGCTGCTCTTTGGAAGCTGGAGGCCATGCCCCCGGCCGCCCTCCCCTCAACCAGGCCGGGACAGTGCCCTCCTTGAGGGCTGCGGGGCAAGGGAAGGCCCAGCTCTGGAGAAGATGCGACACCCACGGCTTTAATTGCACTTATACCAAGGAGTGGGGAGCGGTGGGGTTGCTGGGGGAGGGGTCCCGGGGCTGCTGCTGACAGTGGGGGGTCCCCAGGTGATGCCCACCTGTGCCCACCTGGGGCTCAGGGTTAGGCCCGGGACAGACTGTGCAAAGCCAGCGAGCTGAATAAGTTAACAGTTCCACGGGGGAGGGGGGCCTGCCTGCCTGCCCCCTGGGGTGGCGGGAGGGTGGGGCTGGGGGAGGGAGATGCTGAGGCCTTCGGGGCCAAGGAGCCTAGCTGGCTGTCCCACGGGGCACCTGGGCACGGCGGCGGGTTCCTTAAGGCACGTCTTTTGTGTCAGTTTGCAGCTGCGGCTCCGCCCGGCCCTGTGATTGTGCCGGCCCCACTGGGGGCAGGGACCCCCTAGTCTTCCCTGTCTTGGCGGCCCCCTCCCGGCCCGAGGCTGGAACGGTGACAGCGAAGCCACAGAAGCTGTGAGGGACCCTGGCGTGGATGGGCGGTGGGGGCGGGCGGGCGGGCAGGGGGCCGGGGCGGGGCGGGGGAGGCCGCGGGCTTAGCTGGAGGGCAGCGCCTGCACGAAGAGGCCACGCGCGTCTGTCCGTGCCAGCTTGGCCGGCGGCTCCAGAGCATCAGGGCCCAGCGCGGGCGACTCGCCGCCGGCCGCCAGCGAGATGTCCTGCGGCAGCTCGTCCTCGCTCTCCTCCTCCTCTTCCTCCTCCTCGTCTGGGGCACACAGAGCAGGCCCGACTCAGCGTGGCGTCTCCTCCATCCCCACCGCCCCGTCTGCCGCTCCTTGGACTGGGGCCCACGCCAGGGGACACGCCCCGCCTACCTTTGTCCGGGTCAAGGGGGTTCAGCGAGGTGGTCAGGTTGGCGAACTGCAAGGAGGCAAGACAAGGGGTGAGGGTCCCGCCGAGGGGCGCCCCGCCCGCCCTCTCAGCGCCCCGCCGCGCGCACCTCGCCCATGACGGCGATTGGGGTCTCGCCCTTGGCCTGGGCCACGCGGTGCTCGATCAGGTAGTACATGTACTCGTCGTAGAGCAGCCGTATGAGATGGAAAGAACCAAAGCTGGCAGCGCTGCGCAGGGTCAGGTCCCGGATCACCATGGAGCTGCGGGCGGCGGCGGCGGAACGGAGGCCATCAGGCCCGGTGCCGCCCCTCGCCAGCCTTCAGTGCCTCAACGACCCCCCCCCCGCCACGCGCCAGCAAGCCCTGCTACCCCGGTCCGGCCCCGCCCTGGCTTTCCCAAGTGCGTCCATCAGTGAGAGCATAGGGTCCTCACCCCGCCCACCGCGAACAGGGACCTCCGCCCTGGTGAAAGGGAACCCGAGCCACAAGGAAGCGGTATCTTCTCCGGTCCCAAATCCTGCAAGGAGGCGGGGCCTTCCCCGATCCCATTTTGGCCGGCCCCCCGCAGAGGAGGGGCCGCCCCCAGAGGCCCCGCCCCCAGAAGGAGGGCCGCCCCGCCCCTTCCCACCAGGATCTCGCGGAGGCGGAGCCAGAGCGCACCTGTAGAAGGACCACTTGAGGAGAAAGAGCTTGGCGGCCTTGGGGAAGCCGGCACTGCCCTGGTAGGGCTTGAGCACCTGGCTCACGACGCCGTCCAGCCAGGCCGCCCACTGCTCCAGTGAGTTCTGCTGCTGCAGGGTCACCTTGAAGTCCTGCTCCAGCCGCTGCACCACGCGGTCCTCGCAGCGGCACACCCACGAGGCCTGTTCCTGGAGGACGGCCGGCAAGTGCCCGCGGCTCAGCCGCCGCCCCGGGGCCGCGCAGCCCTCACCCGCGCCGCGCCGCGCCGCGCTCACCGGCCCTGTCCCGCGCTCACCTGCACGTTGGCGAAGTCCACGCGGTTGAGGTCGCTCAGCATCTGGTTGATCTGCGCGGTGTTCTGCAGCACGGCGCGCGCTGCCTGCGCCAGGTGGTTGAGCGACGTGTAGCGTCGCAGTGTCTGCGCGAAGGCGCCGGCCGCTGCCACCTGCGGGGCCGGATGTGGCAGGTGGCGGATGTGCGCGTGGACGGTGCGGTTCCCCCCTCCCCCCATCCCCTGCCCCATCCAGGGCAACTTCTCTGAGCCTTTCCTTCTCCTAAACGGGAGGGATGTGTACCTCGTTGCTTTTGTTGGGAGATCAAGGGGTCGGGATTTTCAAACTTCGGGTGGGCACCCGAAGTACGGGGCAAAAAAAAAAAAAAAAATTCAATATAATGTGTCTGACCAGAATTATTATTATTATTTTTTAAAGATTTTATTTATTTATTTGAGAGAGAGAGAATGAGAGAGAGAGAGCATGAAAGGGAAGAGGGTCAGAGGGAGAAGCAGACTCCCCGCCGAGCAGGGAGCCCGATGCGGCACTCGATCCCGGGACTCCAGGATCATGACCTGAGCCGAAGGCAGTCGCTTAACCAACTGAGCCACCCAGGCGCCCCATTATTATTTTTTTTAATGAAAGGACACAAGAGAAATTCTCAGAGGGATTGTCAGGTTAGGGAAGGTGGGGTGTTGTCCATCTTGGTCATTGCTGTGCTCCCAGCATGGAGAACCATGCTGGCACACAGTAGACGCTCAATAAATGCGTGCTGAATAAATGAATACATTTATTCATTTTCTTCATTGGATCCAACTTCTATTCTTTCCACCTCTCCACTCCTCACCCCCTGTCCAGTGCACCCAGGAGTAATGCTTCAGGTGCCCAGTTCCATATAACTGTCTCCACATTTTAAGGACAATGAAAACCCCTTTTTCTTCCTTTTATTTATTTTTTATTTTATTTTTCTTCCTTTTATTTTTTTGCTCAAGAGCAAGCACATCACATCTAATTCCTCACATCAGAGTAGTAAGTGAATATGCAGCATTGATGAAGAGGGCTATTATTCTGTTCCCTTATAAATGTTGCTTTTTTTTTTTTTTTTTGCTTCAGCTGTCTGAAAAGAACTACTTCAAGTTGCGTTTGGTTTTTATTTTTTAAGATATCGTATTGTGTACAAAAACACCACAAAGGGGTTGTGTTTCAGAAGTGGGTACCTGAGGAAGCTGGTTTGTAAAGGCAATACCTAAAGCTCACTCTGAGGGAACACGCGTGGGGACAAATCCTATGGCCTCTATCAGGGAGAGGAGGAGACCAAGGCCCCCCGCCCTCAGTTCCACAGCCAGGTGGCAGGATCTGGGCTGTGCACCCAGGCTGACCGCTCAGCCCCCTCCCCGTGAGCCTGTGCCCAGAAGCCCCTTCACACCCTCACCTTCACACGCAGCATCTCCTCAGGGATGTTCACCATAGCATGGGTGAGCCAGCTCTCCAGGCTCTTGGCAAAGTTCCGGATCGCTTGGGTCAAGGCACCTGCGGGTGGCAGCAGGGGCTGATCAGGACTGTGGTGGGTGGGGATGGGGAGGGCAGTGGGGGGTAGCTGTCCTGCACTCACTGGGGATGGGCCGCAGCACGTCAGGGATGAGGATCTCCACCAGGCCCTGGTACAGCACGTTGTCACAGTGCTTGGTCCACTGCAGCACTGGCTCAAACTTGGAGAGGAGCACCAGGCTGGCCTTGGGCAGCCGCTTCTCAGCCTCGTCATGCCTGTGGACACCCACCCCACCCCCGAGGTCAGGCTGACACGGGCCCCGATGCCCCCGGGGTCAGATGGGGATCTTATACCTTGCACATCGGGCACAGGCACCCACCCACTGCAGGGAGGAAATGGCTTAGCGAGGCATGCTATCCCAAGCACTGAGTGTCAGACTGGTACACAAGCACTGAAGTGGGGGTCAGGAGGTCATGTGCACCCCACAAACTGTAGGGGTCAGGCAGATACCCCCCTTCCACCTGATGTCCGAGGTCTGGCTACCCCAGCCCTGGGTGCTGACTCTCACCATGCCCGCCCTCCTTTCCCTCCTCCCCATTGCCCCCGAGGGACTCACACAGCCAGCGGAGGCGCCTCGTTGGGCTGGCTGAGGTTGTACCTCCAGAAGGTTTTCCACAGCGTCTCCACCAGGGTGAACTGTAGGTTCACCATGACATCGACAATGGCCTGTTGGGGAGGCTGGATGCTCAGGGACATGGTGGGGGTGGGGGGGGGGGCGGGCAGCATGGCTTTCCCTTGCCCCCGCCCACTCACCCAGCTGCCCTACCTCACAGTGTTCCCGGTACAGGACCTGAAAGGCCTTGATATCCCCGGGCCCGATGCCCTCGGGGAGCACTTTGCCCTGGAGGTCAAGCTCTGAGAAGTCAGGAAGACTCCTCGAGGCATCTGGAGGCAGGAGGGGACACCATGAGGCCCTTTATCCTCCACCTGCCTGCCCCCCCCCCCCGCAAGGCTCTCCCTGGGATCTTATCAAGTTGTCACTTTCCTCCCAAGCAGGGGTCCCCCCTGGGCAGTGGGGAATGAGGCGGCTCCGGGAAGGCAGATGGAACCACCTGCACGCTCTCCAGAGGCCTCAGACCCCGGCCCGGACGCCGCCCCATGGGCCAGGGTGCTCTCACCCAGGAACTGCTGGTACTGCTGGACCTGGGCGCTGATGTCGGACAGCCCGGTGGCCTGCTGTGGCCCCACGGCCACACCGTTGGTCATGCCCTCCATCTTCTGGATGGGCTTGAGCCTGGAGAAGGGGTGGGATTGGGGCACTGAGACAGGCCAGCTCGCCCCTCCCCACCCACCAGCACAAGGTCCGGCTCCATCCTCCTACCTCTGCTTCTGCGAGAAGGGCTGGCCCCGCATGGCCATGTGCTGCTGGTCCTCCATCAGCCGCAGCAGGGGCGAGCTGGCTTTGATGCGCAGGCCGTAGTAGTGGTATTTGGAGTTGCCCCTGAGAGGGAGGCAGAGGCTGAGAACTGGGCTGGGGGGCCTCCAGTTGTCCACTGGGGACCTTCACATCACACCTGCCTCCCCCTGCCTGGAGGCCAAACAGCCTGGGGCAAGACCCATGTTCCACAGAGCCAGGGGTGCTGTGCTGGGGAAGGGCAGGGGCTGTGGGTGCCAAGAGAGGTCCCCATATGCCAACTGAGTTCTGAGAAGACAGGGCCAGCATCTGGGGCACTCCTCGACCTCCGATCCTGACACGGGGCAGGAATCAGCAAGTACTTGTTGACTACTAGTTATAACAACTTGCCAGGCACTGTTCTGAGCACTTAGCATGTGCAAATGCCCGTGTTCCTTATCCCCATCCTCCGAAGGGTGCTCCTGGCACCCTCCGGGGACAGAGGAAGAAACTGTGGCAACAGAGAGACGCAGTACTTTGCGCACGGGTTATGCATGTGTAAGTGAATGAGGGGATACTTAAGCCGGGAACTGGACCCGAGAGAGAGGAGCAGGGCTCACCCCAGGGAGGTGTGAGGGTTGCAAAGGAAAAGAAGGGAAGGGTGGGTTCAGGGGTGGGCCCCTTGTTCCTTCCCACATGAATTCAGACTTGAAGGCGCTGATTAAAGCACCAACCGTGTGCAGCTCCCGCACTCTCAAGGTATGTGCATCTCGGCACTGGAAGCCAGATCAGCAACGAGAAGCGACACAAAAGCCACGTGGGATGGTGCTCCGCGGTAAGGAGGGAAAGCAAGCAGGGAAGGGGGTGGTGGCGAGTGTCAGGGAGGTGGCAGGTGGGAAGATTTCAGGTTCAGTTAAGGGGACCGGGGGCATTGGAGTAAGGAACCAGGGGCATTGGAGTAAGGAACCGGGGAAAAGTGCAGGAAGGAGAAGGCAGAGCTGGTGCAAAGGCCCTGGGGTGGGTGTGCGTGGCTGCCAGAGGCAGGGGCCAGTGGGGCTGGAGCAGAGTGAGCGAGGGCATGAGGGTAGCCCCGGCCCTGGAGAACTTGGGGTGGGGGCAGGCCTTGTGGCTTCAGGGAGGTGGGTGGCCCACCTGGTGCCAAGCCGCCGGGTGCGCAGGCCCATGAAGACAGAGCGGATGAGCTTGCCGAAGGAGGCGGCGTTGACAGGCTCCAGCTTCTGCTCCTGGCAGTGCAGCAGGTAGTGGCAGTAGAGCGTGCTCCGCGGCAGGCTCACTCCCTCTGCTGTTTCATAGTTGTCCAGGAGCCACTGAACCTGCGGCCGCACCAGGGACAGACAGCACCAGGAATCACTGCACTTTCTCGGGGACTCCCTGCAAAGGGCTCTCTGTACCTATTTCCAACTGTGATCCTGACACCATGGGGGGGGGCGGGGAATGGGACTGAACCTCATGGAATTCTCTAGAACTGCACTGTCCAATGTAGCTGCCACCAACCACATACAGCTATTTAATTTATACTGAGTGGAAGAAGCCAATGTCAAAAGGTCATGTGGAGGATGATTCATAGAACATTCTCAGAATGACAGCATTATTGAAACGGGGAACGGATTCATGGTTGCTGGGGGTTAGGGATGCCGGGAGGGAGCAGGACGGAGGTTACAATGAAAGGGGAGCAGGAGGGCGATCTTTGAGGCAATGGAACGGTTCTGCACCTTGACCATAGTGGTGGTTTCCCAAATGCATACCCGTGATAAAAAGATATAAGTAGACAGCCACACTGTAGCAAGCCCAGTTTCCTGGTTCAATACTGTACTGCAGTGGGGTAACCGGGTTGGGGGGGGGGCACAGGATCTCCCTGTACTATTTTTGCAACTTCCTATGAATCTATGATTATATCAAAATAGTTTAAAGAAAAACAAACGCAACTCAGTTCCTTGGTGACTCCAGCCACATTTTAGGTGCTCACTAGCCACACGTGCCCAGAGGCCTCTATACTGAACAGCACAGACAGAATATTTCCATCACTGGAAAATGTTCTACAGCACAGCACTGTTCTAGTGAAGCATGTTTGCAAACTTCGGGTAAGGACGCGTTACAGGGTCATGAAACCAGTTAGGTGGGTCACAGCCAGCATTTAAAAAGAGACTAGAAGCTGGGCTGCACGGGTGTATAAGGGAGGGTCTGCCTGCTTTCTGAGAAAGCTTCTGTCTTGATTATGTGGTCCAGGATGGTCAAAGGGCAGTAGTTCAAATCACCCCAGACCCCAAGCTCCAAGAGGACAAGGACCACCACGGGACCACCAGGCCCTGACCCGTCCACAGTCACGAGCCAGTGAGGGGCCCTCCCCAAGCAACTGCATACAGCCCACGTCTGGGCAGAGAGAGGTCATCTCGCTGCCTTCCAGATGCACAAAGAACCTTGCTCAGGGCAGCTCCCCCCATGCTGATGCCTGCCTCTCCCACCCCTTGCTCCATACCCACCATCCTCAGTTTTATACAGTCACAGGAGACAAGCCTCTTGGGGCACTGCTCTAACAGCTTCATGCATGTTAGCTGAGGCCCAGAGAGGTGAGTAACTTGTCCGAGGCTACCCAGCAAGGATTTGATCCCAGAATATCTGCATCCGAGGACTCTGATGCAACGGTTGCGGTGGCTGATGGTGGCGACTGACCCCCCCCCAGCCCCGCTCCTCCCACTGCGGGCCTCTGCTGGGGCCCGAGTTGGTACTTACGGTGGCTGGCGAGGCACGGGTGGTGTGGGAGTAGGACTGGCTGGCACTGCCCAGCATGTAGCCGCCCTGGATCACATAGGTGCCCGCTCCGCCGCCGCCGCCGCCGCCCCCCCCGCCGCCGCCTCCCCCGCCGCCGCCGCTGCCACCGCCGCCGCCGCCGCCGTTGCTGGCCCCAGCCCCGCTGCTGGTGGAGCTGCCGACCACCTGGCCGCCGGACACGTACATGGGCACGGAGCCGCTGCTGACCACCGCCTGGGAGGTGGCGGGCGTGCTGACCTGGGCGGTGGTGCCTGCGGCCTCGTAGTAGCTGGCGCCCGCTGTCTGGGTGTACAGCGGCGTCTCCGGGTAGGGGTAGGTACTGGAGCGGCTGAGACAGAAGCAGAGGGAGGAGTCAGAGGGCCAGGGGTCCGACGGAGGGGGCTCCTGCAGTGCGGGGAGCAGCAGTCCCCGGCGCAGCCAACAGTCAGCCACTTATGCCGGACCAGGCACCCCCTCCCCAGTGCCTGGTGGGGCACAATTTCTCATTTTTAACCGTCCAAGTGGCCCCTGGCATGGGAGTCCACATCTCAGATGTGAAGAAGCCAAGACGGAACGGCTAGGTCACTTGGAACAGGCCACACACTTCAGTCAATCCAAGAAAAAAAGACTGAGTACCTACTGTATGCTGGACACTGTTCTAGGCACTGCAGACCCAACGGTGGGTAAGACAGAGGAGGCCCTGCCTGGGGGTTAATGTGCTGGTGGGGATGCCAGAGGAGAAGCAAGCACGAAGGTCAATCAAGGGCACTGCAGAAGGTGGGCCGTGCCCGGGTGGTAAATGAAGCAGGAAGAGGGTGCTGGAGAAGGGGAGGGGGCTTCTATTTCTACATCCAGTGGCCACCCTGGGGAGCCACTCAGCGATGACTTTTGGAGTGCAGAGGCATGTCCCTCTGAGGCAGTGACATATCGTGCCCTGCAGCCCTCTCCTCAGGCCATCCCGGGACCTGAGTCAGAGGATGCAGGCGTGAGGCTGAAGTCGTCGCAAGAGAGGGAAAATGGGTCCATCTTTAGAAGAATGTTAAGTGAAAGGTGACAGGATCCTATGGACGGGTGACAGAGAAAGAGGAAGGTCCTGCCAAAGAAGAAGCTCCAGAACATTCTGTCAGGTGAACGGAAGAGGTGGGGAAAAGTAAGGATCCAGACAAAAGTAGGGATTTCCGGAAGAGGGGGAGATGAGGCCCTATTTCATATCTCCGTCTGCATCCGTGGTGGTGGAGGCCCCATGGAGGGTGGCAGGAGTCTCACAAGACAGCGTGGGGCACAGTTTTGATTTCAGAGTCCTCCTTACATGTTAGTGACTAAAAATAACATCAAATGTTAGAAATCCAAAAAGGAAGCAAGGCCTGCCTCAGAAGGCACTGTTGGAAGTCTCCTGAAGGAAGCAGGGGAGGGAGGCAGCAAAGAGAGGGATGGGGGGTGGGGGTAGGGGGGAATGGCGGGAGGCGTGGTCACCTAGGTGAGCCCCCTGCCTCATGGACACCAAGATGCAGCTCTTGATCAAAGCACCCTGGTCCACGTGACCATAAGTGGCACTGAGCGGCACCAGGCAGGGACCACAGACGGCCCGGCCCAGCCCAGCGCCCCACATGCGAAGCGTGCTCCAAAAATGTGGCTTCGGTAACTATTTGCTGAATGACTGACTGAATGTGTGCGTCTCTGGACCCAGCCTGGACAGAGCCAGGGACAGAGGAGCAGGGCCTGTGGCTTTGGCCAGGGTGGGCACCCAGACTGCCGAAGGGCGGAGAACCCAGTAAAAATCCACCACAAGAGAGAGACAGAAGACACAATGCCGCTAACAACTTCACACGGCAGAAGAATCTGACGGCAATGAGGGGCTACGTGCGATCACACATACTAATCACGGAGGGCAGAATTCAAACAGAAGCAAAGGACAGATGCTACCAGGGGAGGCAGAAGGAGCCAGCATGGCACCACAAGGCCGGGGCTTGTGCCTCAGCTCTGCTTCTAACACCCCTGGAGGCCCTAGGGGGCCGTACTCTTTTCCGGAATGCCCTCTGTGCTCCCTACCCACTCTGGCCAACTGCAAGGCTAAGAGACTGGCAGCACCGGAAATAAATGAACAGAACTATGAGGTAGCTGGATGCCATGGACCATGACTCAGGTGCCAGGGTCATGCCCCCTGGGATCTGCCACAGCATCATGACTCAGGGACCGAGATGCTCTAGGAGCGAATCCCCAGCATCATGCCCACATGGGACAGCGGTGGGGATGTAAGAAAAAAAACCAACAACAGACAAATGTAAAGAAAACCAATGAAAACTTCCAAAAATTAAAACAACAATCACTTAATCCTGGAATTATCACTACAGACAATGGAAGGCGGAAGATGGTGTGCGGAGGGTCCTGGACAAGAGCGAGCCAGAGCTGGCTCGAGGGCAGGCCTGGGGCGTGGCATCTGCCCGGTGTGGCACACGGTCATGCTGCAGTGTGTGTGTGCAGCAGCAGGGAGCAGGGGTCACCCCAGTGTCAGCCGGGTGGGCACTGGCTACGTCGTTCATGCTCCATCTGCACAGTGGGGCACCACGCAGCTGTTAAACTGGGTGACTGGGGGACCGCTCAGAGAAACTCGCAAGAGTGTCAAGATACACAGCTGGGGTAAGAAATAAGGGACAGAACACTTGGCCTGTTTCTGCACAAAAAAGGGGGTAGTTTCTATTCTCAGAGCATCTCTGGGAGGAAACAAAGAAACAGGTCACAGCACCCCCTTTGGAGCAGAGTTGGGGTCAGCAGTGAAGATTTCCTTTTCACTGTTAACATTCCCTCTTACTTAAAAAATTCTGTCTTGTAAAAATTAAATTTCCTTTTTCCTTTTCTAAAAACCAGGCCCATCTGACTCCAAAGCCCTAATTGATACTGGGATGCCTTTCCCAAGCTGTGAGGGTCCCCTCTGCTTTGCCCCTGCCAGATGGCTGCTGGCTATCCTTGGGAAGCACCCACCACCTGTCACCCGAGGCCCTGACGTCTGGCTGGTCTGCTTGGGGCTCGGACTCAGGCCTCAAGTCCTAGCAGGGTCCTGGGCAGACCTAGGTCTCACCTCCTGTCCCCTCCCCCAGCCCTCTGCCCACTCACATGGCACTGGCCGTGTAGCTGGCGTCACCACCCTCCACATACTGCACTTGGCTGGAGTACACGTGTGGGACAGGCACCTGCTGGAGCTGCTGCACCTGGTGTGGGAGGAAGGGCACACAGAAGGTCAGGGGTGGGCCCACTCCTCTGCCTCTGTCTCTAAAGGGCTGGTGGCTGTCCAAGCTCGCAAGGACACCTGGCTCCCCGGCTGGAAGGTTGCATTTCTGGGCTTTCTGGACACATCCTGGACAGGGCCAGGGGTCAGAGACCCAGGGGCTGCAGTCTCGGCCAGAGCTGGGAATCAGGCGAAGCTGTGTCAGGAGAAGCCGGGACTCTGTGCTTAGGCTGGGGACAGCAAGAGTGGGGCCTGAGGTGAGGAAGGCTAAGGGACCCAGAGTCCTACTGTGGGTGTGAATGTTGGACCCCAGGAGTAGAGCCAAGCACTGGGACAAGGTTGTCGCTAAAGCTAAAGTTAAAGCCGGAGCCTGAAACTACGTACAAACAGGGCCTCAGGGGTGGAGCCTGCATCAAGGGAAGGCTCCCTGTCTGCAGGGGCGGGGCCTGGAAACTAAGTACAGGATGTTAGGGGCGGAGTCAGAGGTCAGGGGTGGGGCCCCGGTTTGGGGGACGGAACCTGGAATGACTGACAGGGCCTCAGGGGCGGGACCTGAATTTCCCACCCCATCCCCCCACCCGTCCGTGGGAGCGGAGCCTGGGATCTGGAACCCGCCTTGGGGGTGGGGGTGGGGTCAGAGGCGGGTCCCCAGACTGGGCCGGCCGAGGTGGGGTTTGAGGGGGCTTCAGGGCTTGCAGGGCCTGACGGGCAGCCCGGGGCCGGGCGCGGGCCGGGGCCGGCGGATCCCGCCCCCGCCCGCCCGATGCCCCCCGCCCGTACGTCCGCCACCTACTTTGAGGGCCGTGGCGGCCGTGCCGAACACTAGCACCTGGGGGACTCTCTGGATCCTGACCCTCTGGTCGGGGCTGGCTCGGGCCGGGAGCCCGGGCAGTGGCTCGAAGACCACTTTCTGCTGCGGCAGGAGCAGGTGCGGGGGCAGCACGCCCACCAGCTCCACCCACTGCTCGGCGCCCGGCTCGTAATGGGGCGGCGGCGGCTCTGGGCTGCCTAGCTGCGGGACCTCGCCGCTGCACGCGGGCGGGAGCGGCGGCGGCTCCGGGGCCAGCGCGCTCGGCCGGGGCCCGGGCGTGCGTGGCCGGGGCGGCGGCTCCGGCGGCGGCGTGGGCCGGGGCTCCTGCTGCTCTGCCTTCCTAGCGGGAAACTGACTGCCTGAGCTCTGGAGGACAAACAGAGACACTGGGGGGTCACCGGGGGCGGCCGCGGGCGGGGCGCCAGGCCTCCGCCGCCCAGCCCACCGGGTCGCTGAGCTCACCAGCAACCCGACAGGTCTCCCACCCGGTGTCTCTGGGAGGGGAGAATCCAGATCCCTCTCTTAGCAAAACCTGGGCCCTTGAACTGCCAGGTGCCCGGGGGTGGGGAAAATGGGAAGGCTCCAAGACCGAGTCTGCAGCCCACAGCCCCAGGTGGAGCCTGGAGCGGGGCTGGGGCCCTTAGGGATCCCCAGCTCCATTCCCTCCCCGCGGCCTGAAGGGCCTGCACCCCTCCCCAGCCCAGCCCGGGCCCAGTCCCAGTTTGCCCAGAGGCAGGTGGAGGAGACACGCACCTCTTGAGCCACGTGAACTGGCGGGAGCCCCTGCACTGTGAGCTGCTGCACGGGGCCGGCTTTGGGTGCCTGTGGAGTGGCTTGGACCACGGACCTCTGGGGAGGGAAAAGGCAGGTCAGACTGTGGAGACCGTGGTGCCCCTGGTGGGCCACCCATCCCCGAGTCCCCACCCCATGCCCACACGAACCCATGTAAGCGTCAGGGCAGGCTGGTGAGAAAGAGGCCCCCATCCTGCAGCTTTTCCCTGCCCGCCCTTCACCGAGTGCCTTTTAGGGGATTCATCGCTATGTTGACTCTGGGTACCGAGTTACTCATGTGAACAGAGGCTCATCAAAGTGAGGCCAACAGGAAGTGTGAGAACTGAAGCTGAACTTGGGTCTGAGTGAGGGAGTCCTTGCTGTCCCCCCTCACTCTCTACATGGGTTATCCCACACCCCCACATCCATGGTGTTGCGGAGATCCTGATATCACCCTCAGGGCACACAGTGAAGGACAGAGGCTGGGGTGGGGTGGGGGGCTGGTGGATTAGAACTCAAACCCAGGCCTGGACGGCCAGAGGGTCTGTGGTACGCAGCAGGAACATCTGTGACTCCTTCAGAGTGACGTTTCTGCTTTCCTTTAGGGGAAGAGTCCATGGCTTTCATGTGGTTTTCCAAGGAGTTTGGAACCCCGCAACTTGAGTGATAACAACCAGATGGCAGACACCCCTTGCCACTTAACCTGCTCCAGCTGCCATGACTGGCAGCTCAGAGCAATAGCCTCTGGGGGTCCCCAGAATCCACCCTGTAGTCTGAGGAAGAGCCTCTGCCCCTCCCAAAGGCTGGCCATGGATTTGGAGCTTGGGCCTCCCCCTGAGCTCCTTAGGGGTAAGCCAGGACTTGGCTGTGGGGCTTCCTCCAGGCAACTGGGCCCAAAGAGGCCAGGTTGTTTCTCAGAGTTTTCAGCGGCTGTCCAGCACCCGGTGTTAGGTGCCACCTATGAGGACCAGATTTCATCCCGCAGTAGCCCCGACCACCCTGCCCCCAGGCTCCCAGGGCAGAAGCCATTATTTAGACAAGGATGTTGAGTCTGGAGTGAGGTAGAGGCGTTTGCCAAAGGCCCGGGGGGCCTGCTGAGGCTGTACCCCCATCTGCTTGGCTCCCATAGACAGTCAAGGACGCTGCAGAGGCTGCCTGGCCAGGACCCCTTGCCCCAGCCACTGCCCGCCTCGGCCTGGCACCTCTTGGGTGACGGGGACACTCTGCTGAACGCCATGGACCTGCAGCTGCTGAGGCACTGTGCCCGTGGGGGCCCCAGCCGTCTTGCTGGAGGAGCTGTTGGCCTGCACCGGCGACCGCTGCAAGGGAAGGAGACACGGGGGCGTCGTCTGGGCACCCGGGCCCTGACAAAACCCTTTTCACGAGGGCTCTCCCAAGAGCTGTTTGGGGAGGGTGGCAGGCCGCAGAGGTCTCAACCTCCTAGGCTGGTAACTGGCCAAATCCCATGAATCTGAATGCCTAGTCCCTGCCCCGATTGCACCCAGGCAAAGCTGGGGATCCAGCCCAGAGGTACTGGTAGGGGGACCCATCCTCCCCAGCGAAGATGGCCTCAGCTCAGAGGTCACCCGTTGCCTCCACAATCAGAGAGCCTGCAGCCCTGAGATGAGGAGGGGTAGGTGAGGGAATCGCCACTTAACAGATGAGGTTGCTAAAGCACAGATGGGAAAGGACGTCCCAAGTCCACACAGCTGAGTGGTAGCGCCAGGCACTGACCCCAGACTGGCTACAGGTCCCTGTTGGCTCTGGGCCATGCTGTGGCACTTCGTATCATTAGCTGTTTTACACATAGAAAACACTGGGCTCAGAAGGCTCCAGGGGCCTGACCAGAGACCCCCAGGAAAAATGGCTGAGCTGGGGGTCTGATCGCAAGCTCCTGATGCTGCCACCCATGCTCCCAGCCACCCATGGCCTGCTTGCCTCCAACACCCTCGTTGGTGTCGGGGGGGCCCCAGAACCCACCCTTGTAGTCTGAGGAAGAGCCTCTACCAGCCCTAAGCGGGGCTGGGGGGGCCTCCTTTCCTTCCTGGGATACAGAGTCCTGAAGTGGAGCTGTGAGGCCCATCTCAACCTGGGGGGAAGCTACCTCCTCCTCCTGGAGCCAGCAGGGCCATGAATCAGGCAGCCAAGCCACCCAACCTGGGCTCAACAAGGACTCTGGAGGAGCAAGTGGGTTTGGGGGGCAGGGACCCCTCCAAGTATACTCTGGGGGTACATGGCCAACCTGGGGAGAGAGGTACAGGGAGGGCAGCTGATGGGGCCACGACCTACCTCAGGGGGCGAGTGCACCTGCGGGGTGCCATGCACCGTCAGGGAAACCTGGCCACCCTTGCCGCCTGGGGCTGTGCTCTGCACCACCAGACGCTGCGTGGGGAGAGCCTAGAGCCGGGAGGGAAAAGGACCACAGTTGACTCACAACAGCCTGCCCGGCTTTCCCGAGCACCTGGCACCATACCAGGCGATGTCCTAGTGGACACACCTGTTAGCCCCCGGAACTGCCCCAACAGTCCCAGTACAGCACTGACACCCCCCACTTCACAGAGGGTGACAGAGAGGCTCAGGATGGCCAAAGTCCTCGCCCGAGGTCCTGGAACCAGCAAGTGGCAGAGCGAGGGTCTGTGTCCAGGGAGCCTGGCTCCACAGGCCACGCGGAATATGCGCCCACCCTTGAAGCCTGACAGGACTTTGCCCCATTCTGTGCTGAGCCCCATCACCCTGCCCACAGCCTTCTGGGGAACAGACCACCGCCACGCACTCACAGTCCCTGTGCTGCCTACGGGCTCCTGGCTCCTAACTGGCATTGGGTTCTCTGCTTTGAGACACTGGGGCTGGACCTGAAAGTCACCTTCCTTACTGCAACTCCTCAGTTGTGTCTATTAAGAGAACTCAGGCAGGTGGTCGTTCCCCTATGGGCCCTGACTGCCATGGTCTCACTCGCTGGAGGCAGCAGGCGGGGAGGACCCCAGACGGAGCCTATGTCCTTGATGCTGGTGAGGGCAGATCTGAGCAGGCCACAGGGAGTTGGTTGTGCACCCTGGGGGAGGCTGTGAGGGCTGGGCCGGGTGTTGGCAGCCTTACCTGCTGGGGCACGGGGATGTTGGTGAGCTGGAGGGGTGACACGTGGCCCGGCTTGGCCTGCACGCTCGTCTGGACCAGCAGACGCTGTAGGGGCAAGGAGTAAGGACCTGAGCCATGCCAGCTTCCCCGGGGAGGCCTGGCCCAGGTGGGTGGAGGGGTGGCTGAAGTGAACAGCTTGGTAAGAACATGGGAGTAGACAGCTCTGGCAGTGGGGCAGGACGGGAGGCCAAGTTCCTGTGGCCATAGTCACCGCTGCCCTTCTCAAGTACCCTCCCAACCCGCCCCCGGGGGAGGAGTGTGTCCTACCTGCTGGGTGCCCTGCACCTGCTGCACCACCTGAGTGGGGACGCCGGTCTGGCTGGCTGTGGAGCCCGGGCTGGCCTCCGATACAGTCTCGCTGGCCCGCATAGCGCCTTCTGGAGGAGGGGTCACTGGGTCAGCTCCGCCTGCTGTCCCCACCCCCACCCTGAGCCTGAGCCTGAGCCCATTGAGAATGGACGATGGAGCCTGAAGCGGATCCCTGACAGGGCCGGGCCTCTCCAACAATCCTGCCTGCCTCCTGGCCAGCCCTGACACTGCCCACTGGGGTGAGCCATAAGGCCCTACGATCCTTGACATGGAGAAGCAGCCCACCCCACCCCACCTCTCCTCGTCCCAAAGCCAGACCAGAAGGGGTGACTGAGGAGCAGATGCAGCAGAGGCCCGGAGGGCTGGATCCCTTTTCCCAACAGATAGGATTTGTGGAACTGGCCTCCTACCCTGGGGTCTCAGCGGCCGTAGAAGGACCAAGGTGCTGGGGCCACCTTCCTCAAGATGACTCCTGGCTTCCCAGGAATAGAAGATGGTCAGAAGAGTGACCCTAGAAGGCCTTGCCAGCCTGTGGCCAAGCACCCCCTCCCTCTCCACTGTCCCAGCTTCCCTGTCCTCAATGGGACGAGGGAGGAGGGGGCTGGGAGGGGGGCAGGCAGGTACTCACGCTGACAGGCAGCCGAGAAGAGGCAATCGTAGAACATGGTGCCCCTACCCTGCTCCTGCCCCCGTCTATCTAGGGGAACCTGCCCCACACTCCTCACTCCTTGCCCACCTCTTTGGGAACAGCAGGGTGCGCGGGCGGCTTTATACCTGCAACCTTGGGGAGCTAATCCCCCCGGTGGATGCAGAGCTCCCCGGCTGCCCTCTTGGAATAAACACTCTCCTCTGCGCAGGCACAGCCCAAGCAGGGCCTTCTCTGGGCTGGGGCCTTGCTATGAAGTCAAGAGGGAGGCTGGTACCCGGAGATGCTATCAGGCGGGCACAGGTCAAGTTTCATGCACATCTCACTGAGTGATTAACAAGGGAGCTGAGAAGGGGAGAGGCACAGAGGGCAAGTGTCCCTGAGAGATGCTGGTTGGGAGGCCCCCCACCCCAGCCAGGACACCATTCATCCTGCCCCTTCCGTGTGGCCTGGCTTGCTCCCAGCAGTTCCAGAGGCCAGGCTGAGGCTGTGGGGAGCGTATGTGTCTGCCCTTCCTCCAATGTGCTACCAGGAGCCAAGGCCCCACTGCCACCTCCTGGGGGGGTCCCCTGGCAGGACAGGAGGGTGGTGGGCAAGGAGTAATAGGAGTGACTAGAGTGCTTCCAGTGCCCCAGGTGCTGTGCTAGGGTCTTCCTGGGTAGCTGGAGACAGAAGGAACTTTTATTACCCCCGTTATCGGATAAGGCAAGAGACTGGGAGAGAGGAAGTGACCTGCCCAGCTGGGAACTGACAAGCCAGGATGCTGGCCCATTATCTGCGCCCACATAAACCTCACATTGTGCATGGAATCTAGAGCTTCAGGTCATGCTTGGGCTGACACCCCAAGGGCAGTGGTGAACAGTAAGGTAAGGGTCTGTGGGAACACCGTAAGGATCAGAGCATCCTCAGCCTCCAAAGTGAGGAGCTGGGCCTCAGCTACTCAGGGGGTACACAGGGAGAGGGGCCTGGCCAGGGCAGAAGGGCAGCCCCAGGTAGATGCAAGAATCTCAGGGAACCAAGTCTGGGGCAGAACTCATGAATGTGTTATGTACTGGGTGTAGGGGAAGTGGTGGCCAGATGTGGGAGGCGGTGCTGGGGGAAGCCTCCCATTGGCCACATGTGGGACAGGCATTGGAACAACCTCAGGCCTACTTGGCCAGCTGCCTCTGCAGCCAATTCCAAGAGACACCATTTCCTACGTTTGGCTAGAATCTTCCCTTGCACCCACTTAGGCTTCTGTGAGCAGTGAGGGAGGTAGCCCTCACTGAGATGGGCCCCTGGGGAGAAACCTGAGAAAGCCCTAAGTCACGTGAGGGGCCCCAGCACACCTGGGCGTCCGTGGGACACGGGGAGCCAGGCCCAGCCCAAGGAATGGCACCCAACTGAGGCGGCCTCGGACAGGTTTGGCCTAGTTCAGGGTGGGCAGTGAGTGGGGGGCTGGCCCCAGCTACCTCCTAGGCCCAGAGGCTCGGATAAAAACACCAAGGCTGATCCTTCCGTCAGCGGGACACTTAGCATTTGGGAGGCCTGGGGACCTGCTGAGATCAGGGATCTGCCTGGGATGCGGAAGCCCCAGGAAACAGTCTGGGATGGCCCTCAAGGCTGGGATCCCCACATCTGCCAGGCATGCCGGGCTGTACCATGAGGATAAGCAGGTGAGATTCCAGAGTCTACTGTCTGGATGAGAGGCTTCCTGTGTGTGTCCCTGTCTGCCCGTGTCTTGCCCTTGCTCTGTGTGTGTGTGTGTGTGTGTGTGTGTGTGTGTGTGTTAGGGGTTGGGGTATGAAGTCTGCAAGCCTCTGCATCTGTCTCTCTGCCTTCTCCATGCTGGGCATGCGCATGAGACCAGGGAGGGCCCCACAGTCTCAAGTCTGTAGTCAGGAAGTGGCAGCTGATTTCCTGTCCCTCAGTCTGATGAGCATCTCTTCCTCCCTGGGCCCTGCACTTCCCCACTGAGACCCGCTCACATCTCCAATGCCGTGAGCTATGAGGGGGGAGGCTGAGAGAAGCCCGAGAGGCTTGATGACGAGCTGGGACCCTACTCCTCATGGGCGACAGGCGGGGCAGTCTGGTCCCTCCCTCCTGATCCTTTGTCTCTGGAGGTGACTTCAGGCTGGGGCTCCTGAGGGGAGCCTGTGGGTCCTGGGTCCCTTGTCTGTCCTGACCTTGGTTTCCCCATGTGTGCTTGGAGGTGCTGACAAACACCCCCCCATCTATCTCATGGACACAAGTCTTGCCGGACTCGCAAAGACTCCAAGTGTGAGAGAAGCAGGGAAGGAAGGCTGGTCGCAGACGCTCCCTTAGCCCAGCCCTGTCGGCTGCGGGCAGGCTTGGTTTCACCTTCCTGGGGGCGGCTGCCAGGACCCACAGTGCCCTCCTTCCACCTCGAGTTTCGGGCGAGAGGCTGGCAGCCTGTGAGGACAGGGACTTCCGGATCTAGAGGGTTGTTCCTGAGCAGGGAAACTTGAGCTGCCTTCCCATCCCCTCCACAGACACCTCAGGGCAGAGCCCACAAGGACCGGGCTGGATGAGCTGCCTGTGGTGTCGTTCTCAGCTCGCTTCTAGCCTGGGCTCCAAATTGGGTCCAGCACCGCCCCCCCCCCCGGCTCCTCCCTGCGTCTCCCTGGGTCCCTGGTCAGCTCGGATTGCTCTGGCTCTGGAGGAGCCCCAGGCGCCTTGCCGCAGCCTTTACTGGTGTCAGGTATCTCCCCTACCCCCGCCACGCCTGGGACGGGCTCAAGTGGCCCAAAGGCCACCCTTAGATGAAAAGGGACACTAACCCAGGAGAGGGTCATGGAGAAGCACTGGGAAATCACTGCAAGGGGATGGGGGAGGGCTCAACGGGGCGGCAAGTGGAGTGACAAGGTGCAGCCAACCTCTTCTTCCTCAGAACAGATCGAGTAAGCCTCACCCAGTCACCCTCCGGCGGACAGCCTCACTGCCATAAGAACAGGGAGCAGCAGGGAAAAGAAAGTCCCCAGGACCCCTGTGGAAGACCATCAAGGTGCCACGAGACCAAAGAAGGAATCCGAGAGTCACACCAGCAGGGCATTCACTGCAGCCCACCCCCACAGAGTGGCCCCCCAGTGCAATGGGGGATCGGGGCGGCGGCGGGGGGACAAAGGCCTTGGCCTCTAAGCCAGGGACTGCCTGGGCATGCACCAGGAAGAGCTGGAGAGGCTGAGGGGGAGCGAGGAATGTGCCAGGAGTTGGGGTGCTCTGGGGCCTGGAGCCATGGGCCTTTTCCAGACCCTTGCCCTGAGGACCCCGGACCCCCCAAAGCAGCCAAAGCCAGCACCCAGGAGGTCGAGGGCCAATCGGATGCCCCGTAGGCTGGCCAAAGTCCTCTCGCAGTGCAGGCGAGGCCTCCCACCCGCTCCTAGCTGCCCAGGGCCGACAGACTGGGAGGGCTGTGATGGGTCAGGCCAGCCTTCGCATGGGTGTTCATGCCACAGAGACTCCGGGGACAGAGCCCTGCCCTCAGGGACAAGGGGATGGACATCACTGCCCTCGTCATCACTTCAGGTGATAGTGAGTGTTAAGAAGAAAAACAAAGCAAAGTGAGGACACAGGAGTGAGCAGTGGAGGTGGGGAGGTGCGGGCATCAGGGAGGTAGCACTGAACCGACACCGGAACACAAGGGACAAGCCACCAGGAGGTCTGGGACAGGAGTGCTCCAGGCAGAGGGCACTGCGGGTGCAAAGACCTGCAGGCCAGACTGAGCCTTGTGGGTTTTTGGAGCCGCGGGAAGGCCAGTAGGGCCGGAGCAGGTGTGGGAGGGGGCGGGGGGGGCGGGGGGGGCCAGGAGGCTGGCAGGCCTTCCAGACCAGAGTTGGGAGGCCAGGAAATTGTCAGCAGGGGGGATACAGGAAGTGTGGAGTTTTTAAAGCCCTTCCCTTGTGGGAGAGGCCACAGGGGGCCAGCTCTCCTCAGATGAGAAAGCCAAGGTCAGGGCTTCTCAGATAGAGTGTCCCCAGGGCCACCTGCCTCAGAATCTTCTGGGTTGAACTGGGTTGTGATGGGCTCCCTCTTGGTCGCTGCAGGTCTGTGACCAGCGAGGGCGGAGGCTGGACCAGGGTAGGGGCCGTGGAGGTGGGAGAGGCGGTGGGTTCTGGCAGCATTTAGGAGATGGAGCCAAGAGGTCTTGCTCAAGAATGGGTAGGACAGGAATCCATGCTGACCCAGGACTGGGGGTGGTATTTATTAGGATAAAGAAGTCTCAAAAGAGGGTGGACCGGATGAGGGGAAAAATCCAGGGTTCCATTTGGCCATGCTGGCTTGAGAGGACCATTCAATCCTGAGCGGATGGGTCACAGGTGGCTGGGGTTCAGGGCACAGACCACAATGCGGGCATGTTGTTAGCACCAAGCGGGCAGGGAAAGCTGAGATAGTGGACTAGGTCACCGTGAAGGGAGATGAGGAGGAAGCAGCAAAGGGGGCGGAGAAGGGAGGCAGGGAAGTGGGTAGAGACCGGGGCAGGGGGCGGTTCTGGGAGGAAGGGGACCAGTGTGTCAGGTGCTTCCCAGGGCTGGAGGAAGAGGAGTACCAAGAGTGACCAGCAGACGGACAAGATGGGGGCTGTGGGTGACTCCGACTGGGGCGCTGGGTGAGGGGAAGGCAGAGGCAACAGAGGAGAGAGCACCAGTTAAGGAAGGGAGGGTGAATCCTTCAAGGAATTCTGACTTAAAAGGAAGTGAAGACGTGGGCAGCAGCTGAAGGGGTACAGGAACTGGGGTTTTTGATTAAATCGGGAACTGTTTCATCTCTGCAGGCTGGTGGGAAAAACTTGTAAGAGAGGGACCAAGCGATGAGGCCCTGGAGGGGATGGCCTGGGATTCGCAGCACCGCTGGCTGCAGACAACCCTGGGAGCTGGGAGGCTGGCTCGGGGGAGATGGGGTCCTTCTTGATATGTGGTGGCACCTGTCCCCAGGGAGGTAGGCAGCAGGGTCAGGGGTAAGGAGCGCAGAATGAGACAAGATGATGGAGGTGGGGGTGGGTTTCTTGTCGGGCGGGGGGGCGCCATGCTGGTGAGAAAACCTAGCAGGATAACTGGGCAGTGCTGGGAACCCGCCGGAGATTTGTGGCCTGGGGACCCTGGCTACGTCCATGGCTGGTGTTCTCAGTGTGGCTCTCACGTGACATCCCTCCAGACCAGTCCCTGTGGTAAAGCGTCACCACCCTGAGCCCTCTCTGGGGACCTCCACACTGCCAGGAGCCTAAAGGATGCTGCTCAGGGCCCCGGCTACACCTGTTCTGGTCCCATGGGGCCATGTCAGTTACCACGTGTCACTCTATATTGTCCTATCTTCCTAAACCCAGTCTTGACCTGCCTCTTCCACAGCCTCCCAAGATGCCTTTATGATTCCCATCCCTTCCTTCTTTTCCACTCTGGAAAGATCGGGTGGGGGGAGGGAGGGGCTCACCACATCCTCCCTCCCCCACTGAGCACACTGGAAACCACGAATGATGCCCAGTCCTGGTTTGAGCTCCACCTTCTCAGGGGAATGACTACCTGTCCTGACCCTCTGCTCCCAGTTCCTTCTGCTCAGCCCGTCTCCATCCTGGAGGGAACTGGGGCATGGGGAAGATGGTCTAGGCAAGAATCACGGGTGCCACGACCTGAGCCCCTTGGTCACTTTCTCCACGGCCATAAGGGTAGACCACAGCGAGAAACAGGGGTCCTTGGCCACATGATCATGAAATTGCCCAACCAATGGCCTCCCTCAGCCCCTGGGTCCTGCCAGAACCAAAAAGGTTGCACCTCCGGGGAGGCCTCCCAGCTGACCTCCCTGAAATGCCTCCGTGAACACCTCGCATGTGTCCCTGGAGCTCACGAAGCTGTTACCAGCCCTCTGTGGGTGAGGAAACAGGCTGAACTGGTGAGAAACGAGGCCAGGCCAGGAGTGCAGCAGCGGGGTGCTCACCCTCCATCTCCAAGAGATGTTTGCAAACTTTAAGTCCACCACCCAGTCCTTTCCTCAAATGGCAGTTGACTTGGGGACAGAGACAGAAACAGCCCTATGAGGTGCCCTGGTGGGAAGGAGTTTAGGTGGACAGAAGCCTCATTGCTTGGCCTGACAACTCCTTCCCCAGAAACACACCCCCAAGTCCCACCGGGGAACCCCAGCAAGTTTGAAAGCTGCCGTGCTGGTGACAGGGACAGGCACAGCATCACGTCACTGTGCCCCCCCCTTCCAGGATGCCGGGCTCCCCAAACTCCTCTCCGAGTTGTTCACAGAGCACCCTGGCTGCGGGTGCATGTCCACTTACCGGAGACAGTGACCACGATGTACTGCTGGGACGCCGGGGACGGGGTGGGTGCGCCAGCCGGCTGCGAGGGCGTGGGGGTGGCCGGGAGCTCCGTCACGTACTGCTTCTGGCTGCCTGGGGGCTGTGCCTGGGGCTGGGGGCTCTGCAACTCAGTGACATATTGGGGCTGGGGGGTAGCAGCGGTGGCGGGCGGCTGGGGGGGCTGGGGCGCTGCTGGGGGCGGCGGTGGTGGCTGGGGCGGGGCCTGTGGTGGCTGGGATGGTTGTGGGGCTGCCTGTAGCTCAGTAACGTACGCTGGTGTTGCCATGCCAACAGTGGGGAAAATGATAATAAATAAGGCTTTTTTTTTTTTCCTTCCTTGGGAAGAAGAAGAGGAGGAGGGAAACAGAAAAAAAAAAAAAAAGAAGGAAAAACAAGAATTAATCTACAAGCAGAGGAAACCAGGGACAGTTCCTGGCTCCCTAGAGACACGTTTAGGTTCCTCACTAACTTAATTAAATACGGAGGCTGGTGGCCAGATACAACCAACCCATCACTGCAGGGGAACTGGTTATGGACTGAGGCTGGTTTACGCCACTCCCATTCACCCCTGTTCAGGACTTCTGCCTTCTTCCTTCCCAGCCCCTGGTGCCTGGGGGACAAGTGCGTCAAAGAGGGGGGGGGGAGTTGGGGAGGGTGGGGTCAAATGGTGCATTTCTCTGAGGGCTCCTGAAAGCTGGGCACTGTGCTGAGTGCTTTCTGTACATTATTTCATTTTAAACTTTGCAACAACCATGTCTGGGTTTGAGTTTGCTCTGCCAGATGAGGAGCTGAGGCTCAGAGAGGTTGAGGAGCTTGCCCCAGGCCACACAGCAGGCTGAGGCTGAATCCTGGGCATTCTGAGCACTTGAGTAGTTGGCTAACTGCTGGAAGGTAAAGTCTGGGGAAAGCTGTCTCCAGGCCAGCCTGTCCCAGTTCCTTACATGCCTGCTATCTGGGCTGGGATTCTCGGCTGAGGATCATTCCCAGTGGGGTGCCAGAAAGGGAAAGGTGTTTGAGTCCAAAAAGCCCTTAGAGCAGCTTGTGGCCTCAGGGGTTTTCAGGCCTGAACGGACCATAATGGGTTGCAACACCAGATGGGAGCTCATCACAGGAAGAGTGCCCTTCTGAGTCCAGGGGCCCTGGGCTGAGAGCAGGCCCTGGCCACAGGGCAGGCTCAGCAGTCACTGCTGACCTCAGAATGGGGCCGGCCCAACCAGGCAGGGGCAGCTTTTCCGGCTGCTCACGGGTCATGTTCCCTCTCCCAGGTCCTGGGCTAGTACCGTCCCTCTTGCCGAGCTCTGTCCCTTCTAGCTCACCGCCCCCCTCCCCGTGCTAAGCGCCACCCTCCCTCTCACCCAGCCCCGCCTCATCAGAAGATGAGCAAATGGTTTCCCCGCTGCCCACACTAATGGGTGCCATCCCCAACTCCTGAGCATCTGAGGATGAGGGAAGAAACACTAGAGTGGTGAAGAGGCGGAGCTCCGGCCCCCATACCTTGGTGGCCCCTGCCTGGCCCAGGGAAATATTTGAGTTGGACAGCCCTGCCTGCGTTCGGTCACCTGTGACACCCGTGGGCACTCCAGGCCACTGAACCAGAGGCTCTTCTGCACTAATCCTGGAGCACCTGTGTGCCATCACGCACCAGCAGGCGGCCCTCCAGCCACTGGTGACCAAGAGTGGGATTTGCAAGGGGAAGGGGGGTGGGAGAAGCAACTGCTGCTGGTTGACCAGAAGCCCCAGGAGCCTCTGCTGTGCTCACTTCTGCCTAGCAGCCCCATGAGGGAGGAGCCACCACAGCCATCTCACAGATGAGCAAAACCACGTGAAAGGTGCCCAGCAACTGGTAAGAAGAAGATCTGAACCCAGGTCTCTCTGACCTCCGGATGCATGCTCTTAGCCCCCAGCCCTACTGAGGGAGCCAGGCACGGGGCTCGTTTATTTCTCATACTCAGTAGATAGCATCTTCCCTGTTTTTCAGACCAGGACACCTGAGCCCTACCCACAGAGATTAAACACCTGCCACACACAAGAAAAAGTCACTTTCCCCCAGCCCCTGCCCTCCCAAACTCCCTCCTGCCAGCATCAGAGGGGCTGTCTTCCAGGGGCTCCTCACACCACTGGGTCCACACTCTGGCCCAGCGTAGGAGCTAGGGTGACCGCAGCTGACTGGTGTCCGTCTGCCTGGTGTCAGACCCACCTCAACATGAACCCTGACCTGTCTCTTCATTCACAGACACGTTACTGACCTTCCTCTGGGCCTCAGTTTCCCCATCTGTACTGGGGATGATGAGGACACCAATTCATAGGGCTGTCGTAAGGATCCAACAAGACAAGCCCAGCACCCAGTAAGCACAGAGATGTGGAAGCCTCTATTATCTTGTCACTGAACAAATACCCGTGCCAGGTGGAGATGGAGAAGGGTGGGGGGAGGAGAGACACACACATTCCTCAGGCTCTTAGAAGGAGGTGCCCGGGGGGAGTCCAACTCTGGTGTTCATCAGCATCATCTGGGGAGCTAATTAAATGCAGGTTCCTGGGCACCACTGCCCAGGGAGTCTGGGATGGCCCGAGAGTCTGCCGTTTGAGCTAACTTCCTTCAGGATGATTCTGAGCCCATTGGCCCTGGGAGAACTCTCTGAGAAACCCTGGCCTGGGCTTTCTGGGCCCTAGCAGAGCTTGTTCCTATGGTACCTCCCACAACGAAAGGGCTTTTTTTTTTTTTTAAAGATTTTATTTATTTGACAGAGAGAGACACAGACACAGTGAGAGAGGGAACACAGGCAGGGGGAGAGGGAGAAGCAGGCTTCCTGCTGAGCAGAGAGCCCGACACGGGGCTCGATCCCAGGACCCTGGGATCATGACCCGAGCCAAAGGCAGGCGCTTAACAACTGAGCCACACAGGCGCCCCAGGAAAGGGCTTTAAAAGCTCCACACTTGCAGGGTGCTTTCTCCTCCTTGAGGTGCAAAGCCCACGGGCCCCATTCCTTCCACTCAGGGGCAGGGGAAGGAGGTGACAGCGAAGGCTGAAAGGCCAAGCTTGAAAAGGTGAAGGGAAGATTAATGAAACAGTTAAACCCACTTCTCTATTGGAGGCCTTCTCAGCACTGTCATTGTCAATCTCTAGGAAGGGCAATACAGGATACCAAGTGTCCCATAATTATTTGTTGACCAGGGAGCCCTTTTCTTTCCATTTGTGGATGACTAGGGCAAGCAGAGTTCTGTAGGGTGCTCTCTAGAGAGAAATAAGTCACAAATATAAACAGCATGAGATCCCTTCCTTTACAGAACAGGGCACACGAAACAAGGGAATCGCTCAGCAAATCTATTCCTTGGCAATGAAACTGCCAAGAAAAGCACCAGTGGTTGCACCTAACTTCAAAGCCAACAGCTGTTTTTGGAGAACGTTTGAATCAATTACTTTAGGTCAGGGGCCGGCAAACTTCTGTAAAGGGCCACAGCCAACATTTTTGGCTTTGAGGGCAGACAGCCTCTGTTGCAACTACTCAATTCTGCCACTGCAGTGTGACAGCTGCCATAGATAATATTTAAACAACCAAGCGTGGCTATGTGCTAATAAAACTTTATTTATAGACACCGAGATTTGAATTTCATTATAGTATCACATGTCCTGACATTTTATTCGGGCCACAAAATTTTCTTCTTGTAATTTCTTCCCCAATCATTTAAAAGCATAAAAAATCATGCAAATTCACAGGCCATGCAAAACCAGGTGGTAGCCATAGTTTGCTCACTTCTGGTTTGGATTCCAGATTCTATAACCAAATGGTTTACGTCTTGGGAAGGCCCTCCTAAGAAAATGGAAAGAAAACTCCCTTTCCTCATCTGTAGAATGGCTTTGATGAGGAACTTGCTGGGAATAGGGAAAATTAATATAAGGATATGGGTTTCCTTCATCTTCTATATCCAATTAGTTTTTAAGACTTCTCAATGATTCCTTCAAAATAGATCCTAAGGAGGTATTACACTTCTCTCCACCTTTATCAACACCCTTCTATTCTGAGATCTCTTCATCTCTTGCCTGGACCCCTGCAACACCCTCATTACCGGCTCCTAGCTCCACTCTTGCCTCGATAGTCCTTAAGATCCTTTGAGGGTATCAAAAACTAATGATGTAATGTATGGTGATTAACAACAATAAAAAATTATTTAAAAAAAAAAAAGATCCTTTGAGGGTGCCTAGGTGGCTCAGTCGGTCGAGCATCTGCTTTTGGTTCAGGTCATGAACCCAGGGTCCTGGGATCGAGCCCCATGCTGGGCTCCCTGCCTAGCAGGGAGTCTGCTTCTCCCTCTATCCCTCCCCCCCTGCTTGTGCTCCTGCTCTCTCCCTCTCAAATAAATAAATAAAATCTTAAAAAAAAAAAGGTAAGATCCTTTGAAAGCACAAATCCTATCTTGTCACCCCTCTATTCAGAAGACTCCATGGCTCTTATCACAGAGACGAAATAAAATCCAGAGCCCTTCCCAAGCATTATGGGGACTTGAGGTCTTTCCTATCTCACTTTGAATGTTCTAGTCAAACTGGCTCTTGCTCCTAGAATGCTCCAGGCCTCCTCCTGCCTCAGGACCTTTGCACCAGACTCTTCCACCTGAATGACATGTTCTCCTCACCTCTACCCCCATTCTCCACTGCTGGCTGCTTCTTATCATTCAGATCTCAGCTTATATGTCACCTTCTTGGGTCTCAAGTGTGCTCTCCTCCCCCAACCCCAAGCACTCTGAAGCACATACTCCTGTTTTGTTTTCTTCCCGGCCCTGTATTTCCTTGTCTGTTTATTTTCTTATTCATAGTTCCCTTTCCCACCATGACCAGAAATGTAAGCTCCCCAAGAGCAGAGACCCGGCCTGCCTTGCCCATCTCTGCATCTCCGGCTCCGAAAATGGGCACACAGTACGGCCTGCTTTGCCCACCACCTTACCTCCAGCTCCCTAGACGGGCACATAGTACGGGCTCAACTTTTACTGTCAAATACGTGTCCACACACCAGGAGCACAATACTAGTGAGTGTCAAAGGCCAGTTTGAGTCTACCAATTGTGAACAAGTTCCTGCCTCCTGCCTCTGCCAGCAGCAGGCTTATGGCAGGAGGGGTGGGCGATGCCCCCTGGTCCAGAATGGGCTCCGCAGCCCAAGAAGAGTACTAGGCACTGTGCAGTTGCTATCTGCAGGCTTTGTCCCTGGGGGAGTCCGCCTGGCCCATCCCCGAGCTATTGAGATGTGTATGGGGAGGGAAAGGCAAGGACTTCAGCTCCAGAGACACCATTCCCACGACACCCACACCCCTGGCTCACCCAGCTGCCTCCTGGAAGCCTTGGGGCTGAGTCTGGGCCCAGGCCCAGGAGAATTTTTCTTTTTGGCTACTCTCCTAAAGCGGCAGAAAGGCTATTCAGGAGCAAGGGGAATGGCACTTTCTCACTAGAAATTGGAGTCCTGGTATCCAGCTTCCTGGGATCTCTGTCATCTCTGTCATCAGCCCACAGAGCCCAGCAAGTGAGTCAACCTTTAAAGCCACTAGGCTCTCGCCCAATTCAAAATGATAAAAATAAATGCAAGCGGTGTAATTCAGAGGGCTGAGCAGGAAGGGCCAATCATGAGAATAACAGTGGCAGCTAACAGAGTTTGAGCAATTACTAGGTATCTGATGCTCAACATGTATTCTTTTACAGGATCCATAACACAGCAATATGAGCTTAAAATTATTACCAATGATCACTGCCCCTAGCTTAAGGGAAACTGAGGTCCAGAGAAGTAAAGTAACACATCCACGAGCACACAGCTAGAAAACAGGTGGTTGTTTCCAAAAGCAAACCAAACCCTTGTCAAAATAGCCCTCTGGGCTTGGGCCCTTCAAATATAAAAGTTATGGCAGGGGAGAGGCAGTTAACAAGACTAGATGATCAGTAACATCACCTTCTGCTCAAAGTTTGCCTTTCCAACAGGTGGTAATGACTATTCAGGCAGACTTGGTATTTCCAGAGTTGTACTGAAAACTAATCTCCGCCCTCCCTAACTTTCAAACGGGTCCTGCCACCTCTCAAAGAGGACCGGGTCTAGAAAAAGTCCCTGGAGAAGTGAGACCCACCCCCCCAACCTTATCTCAAATTCTTGAGAGAAAGCTTTAGGAGAGCCTGAAACAATTGTTCTTGAAGTTTATTGATTTTAAAAGAAAACGGCTGCAATTTGCACACCACCACTCTGCTCTGCTGATGCCAAGCTCCAAAGCAAGAGAGAGAATAAACAAAGTGGACTTGGCCCAGCCGGCTGCTTGAAAAAAATAAATTCTTTCCCAAGCTGGCAGATCTTGTTGCCCCGCAAAGCAGACACTCAGATTTTCCTGTAACAAACATGGAGCACTTCCCTTTCCTTCTGATCTTGATGGCCCGCTCCTGCCCATGTGGCTCTGGAGGCTGGTAACTCCTCAGTGACATGTGACCCAGTTGACACCAACTTGATTGACACAAAAACATGTGTCTGGCCAAGAGAAGCAGCTTAAGAAATCTAAGAAACTTCCTCGGGCGCCATTTGCTTCCCATTCCCAGAAAGGGAGACTGTGATGAGTAGAATGGTTAGAAATCATCCCAGCTTCAGAAACAAGTCCTCTGCCCAGGGACAACACCAGATCTAAGAGAGCAGCCCACAGAGAAGCAATCAAGTTTCTGTTCTGTCTCAGTCACCCGAGATCACTCCTCCCTGCCATGGGCTCTGATTTCTGCACACCAAATCCTCCCGGCTAAAGCCATATTCCTAGCCCACAGCTTCTCCATGAAACTTTGTCTTCCCTTGCCTTCTCTCAGAGAAAAAAAGGCAGATTTAGGAGCAAACAGCAGTGTTGAAATCAAGATTAGTTAACTGTTTATCAAGCCGCATTCAAAAACAGCACATGGGGTAGTTCAAAGATGAGCCCTAGAGAAAGTTCGAAGATGAGCCCTACAGAAATTCCTGAAAGGAGTCAGGAGTCCCTGAAATGCAGAAAAGGAACGACAGCAGTGATTCTCCCCCACTTTACAGGATGGAAAACTGAGGCCTGATATGTGGCAGACAGTGTGTACTGGTAATGACTGGGAGCGGGGGCTTCGAAAGCGACGCAGCACAGGTGGCCTCCCATCCCTTTGGGATGCCGTAACGCCCAGGCGGCAGCTGCCCCACCCGGTTCCTCCCCGGCACCCCGCGCCGCCCGCCGGCCCCGCCCACACCTTACGACCTGGCCCCGCCCACTCACCTCGGCCCCGCCTTGCCCCTCCCTCGCTCCCATTGGCCCAGCCTCCCCAGGCCCGCCTCTCCGTACCTCCCAACATATAAAAGCCCCCCGCCCCGTCCGGCCGACCTCCACTCGCCGCCGGCCCGCTAGCGCCCGCCCCTCGCGGGGGCTGGGCCCCGGACCCCAGGGGCGGGTGGTGTCGCCCCAGCCGGGCCCCGGCCCCCTCCCCCACGGCCCCGACAGTCGCCGCCGCCATTTTGACCGCCCGCCCCTTCCCCCCGGACTATGATTACAGCGACAGCCGCCGCCCCGGCCCCGCCGCCCTCCCTGGCCCGGCCCGCCACCCCGGGGCCGCCCCGGTTACCTCGGCTTCTTCCTACTTCTTCCGCAGAAGGGCTTTCCAGAGGTCTCGGAGGCGACGTTGGGAGGGGGACGGAACGTGCCGGGGTCCCCGGGCCGGGCAGGGTGGGGGTGGGGGTGGGGGTCGGCCGGGCGGTTGTTGTTGTTGACTCGCGTTGCCGGGTTGCTTGGTCGCCACGACTACCGTGGCTATGGCGCCTCCGTTTCCCTCACCGGGGCAACTGTTGCTACCCACCCTACATACGTCACGAGCGGGGGCGGAGTCCTGGGTGATTGGCGGCGCCAAGAGAAGTGATTGGACGGCGGTAGGTCCTGCTCCTAAGCTATTGGTCCCAAGTCACGCTTTTCAACACCCTCTCGACTTCTCGGCGCTCTGATTCATCGGTGTGCATGTCCGTCAAAGGAAAGTGAACCCTCAAAGGCAGGAGAACCCGTCACTCCCGCAAAGAAGCGGCGGCCTAAGAATAAAGGGGTGGGGTCTGTGAGGTTGGGATTGGTTTGCGGCTGTAAAACCTGCCTTACGGTTCAGCTAAAGGGACGTCGATCTATTCCAAAGGTTTGCCGCGCTCTCTAGCTAGGAACCGTGCGCATGCGCGACACGCAAGGCCAACTGGGAATGGTAGTCGGCTCTGCGTACCTTAAACGCCTTACCAATTATAAAAGGCGAGAAAGGGATGCTCTCTTCCTTCAGACTTCTCCCTTCCCGGGTGGGTCAGTTCCTAGCCTCGCGCGCTTACGTCACGGGAGGAATGCGGTGACGTGCCCTGCTCTTCTGTGACGTCAGCGGCGGGCCTGGGTTAGGGGTTCGATGACGTCACTGGGCGCTCTTCACCTACCCTCGTTGCCCTCTGGTGGTGGGATGGTCGTGGGGAGCCAATGTGGGGTTAGATCCCAGGTCCCATCCCCCGAGCGCGCGGCCACCTCTGCCTAGACCGGGCCTCCGCGCCTGCTCCCGCCTCCCCGCCCTCTCGAGCCGGATAAGGTCACTGGGGCCGGCACAGCCGCGGCTATCTCGGCCCCGCAGGCGGTGCGGAGGGCTCTGGGAAAGGTCTCCCGCAGGCGGAGGATTTAATTAGAGGCTTCTATCGCGGGCGATAAGCAAAGGTCGGCACCCAGCCCTTCCCAGGGGAGTTCGGGCTGCCCTGCAGGGCCCCACACCGCCCCCCCCCATTCCGCTCCCCAACACCGTCCTCCTCGCTTCAGTTTCCGCAGGGGAGAAGAGACAGAAGCGGGTTAAGATTAGGGTGAGCGCGCCTCAGGCGCAAAAACTCAATCATTAAGATAAATGACATTCTAATCCAGTATTTTTTTCCAATATTTTTTAAGTATCAAAATTAATGGGAAGAAAATCCGTGAAGAGCAAAATACCGAAATTTTAAATAAAGATAAGATCCGCCAGGACTGGGATTAAGGTGAGGTGAGTCATGCAAGTGCAGGATCGGATCTTGTCTTTTACTTATTTAAAAACATATTTTAATCATTGAATTTTTTGCTTTAATTTTGATTTTTCAAAATATCTTGATAAGTGAGTTTTTGGCACCCCGTTCTTCAAATTTTGTGCCCTAGGCTCCACCAGATCAGAGCCCATGGTTCTAAATTCCACTTCTGCTGTGTGACAATGAGACAAAGAGGCTCTGTCTCTGAGCTTCTGTTTCCTGGTTCAACCAATTTCACACTTCTTGTGGGCAAGGCCCGGACTGTAAAAGTAAAGAAGCGGACAAATCCTTAGACCTTGCATTCTGCTAGGGGAGACACAATTATTAGTGAAATTAATACATGAGATAGGTTTATGAGGGCTGTAAGAGCAACATAAGAGGGTGCTGTCGCCTGTGTCCCCTGATCATGCAAACTGAGCCTGAGTGGTGGGTGAGGAAGAAGCAAGCCCCATAAAACCCAGGTGGTGGGAGTTGCAGAGGCAAAGTCCAGGCGAGGAAGGAACAAACATCTGGCTGGGGCAGAATGAGCAAAGAGGAAAGTGTCAGGAGGTGAGGTCAGAGAACTACAGGTAGCCAGATGACTCCTCAGAAATCCTCCCAACAGGGGTGCCTGGGTGGCTCAGGGTCCTGGGATCGAGCCCCGCATGGGGCTCTGCTTCTCCCTCTCCCATTCCCCCTGCTTGTGTTCCCTCTCTCGCTGTTTCTGTCTGTCAAATAAATAAATAAAATCTTAAAAAAAAAAAAAAAAAAAAGAAATCCTCCCAACAACTCAGCAAAGTGGAAACACCCCCCCCCCCCCCCCCCCCCCCCGCCACTAGCCAGGTAAGCAAACAGAATCTCAGAGGTGGAAGGTGCTTCCTCGGGATCACACAACTGGAGGCAACAGAGCCCAGACAGCCTGTCTCCTTTTCCGGGACTTTCCAGTGTGCTTTCATGCCCCTGGATGTAACCCTCGATGGAAGAGGAGAAGCAGTAGCAGTCCCAATCTGCCTGGAACTGCCGGCTCCACCCCAGCCCTGACAAGTCCCCCCAAGAATTCATGAGACTTCCAGGCATAAGGTGTCCAAAATAAATTGCAGCTGGCAGAGCAAAGTCACTCAGCCCTGCAGCTGCTGTGAGACAGGTGGAGGTCCCAGGGCCAGCCCTGTGGGGAGTTGGGACTAGAAGCCCTATTTCCACCTCCAACCCATTTCCCCACCTTCCTGACATCCCTAAGCCTTAAGATGGGCACAGCCAAGCCTAAAACCATTTCTTCAATCACAAATACTCATTATAAGCCTTTGTGGCAGGGAAGGCAGTGTAGGCTAGAAATGTTCTAAATTTTTTATCTGATAGGGCTTGCATGGGTATATAAAGATTTTTATTTATTTGACAGAGAGCAAGAGAGGGAACACAAGCAGGGGGAGTGGGAGAGTGTGAAGCAGGCTTCCTGCCCAGCAGAGAGCTTGATGCGGGGCTCAATCCCAGGACCCGGAATCATGACCTGAGCCGAAGGCAGCAGCTTAACGACTGAGCCACCCAAGCGCCCCATTGTGTGGGTATATAGATATAAAGACTCCCTGAGCTCTCCATTCAAAATCTGTGCACTTGGGGCGCCTGGGTGGCTCAGTGGGTTAAGCCTCCGACTCTTGATTTCAGCTCAGGTCATGATCTCAGGGTCGTGAGACCAGGCTCTTCGTAGGACTCTGCACTCAGTGTGGAGTCTGCCTGTCCCTCTCCTTTTTTTTTTTTTTAAAGATTTTATTTATTTATTTGAGAGAGAGAGAATGAGAGATAGAGAGCATGAGAGGGAAGAGGGTCAGAGGGAGAAGCAGACTCCCTGCTGAGCAGGGAGCCCAACGGACTCGATCCCGGGACTCCAGGATCATGACCTGAGCCGAAGGCAGTCGCTTAACCAACTCAGCCACCCAGGCGCCCCAGCACCTACATACTTGAGGGATGTTGACCTGTAATTCTCCATGTAGCTATTTAAACTAAAAGTTTAAAGCCCGGTCCCTCTCCTTCTGCTCACACACTCTCTCTCTCAAGTAAAAAAAAAAAAATCTGTGCACTTTATGTATATTATGCTCCAATTTGAAAGTTTAAAACACATGCACACATTATACCATTGGAAGCAGCTCTTGACCAACTCCTTTCTGAAACATTGGTAATTAAAAGTAAGGAATTAAGGATGGTCTTGCCTCCCCAGTATTAGCTTAAAAATTTAGAAGGAAAGAGGGGCGCCTGGGTGGCTCAGTTGGCTAAGCAACTGCCTTCGGTTCGGTCATGATCCTGGAGTTCCAGGGTGAGGAGCCCGCATCAAGCTCCCAGCTCAGCAGGGAGTCTGCTTCTCCCCTTGACCCTCTCCCCTCTCATGCTCTCTCTCACTCTCTCTCTCAAATAAATTAAATATTTTAAAAAACTTTAGAAGGAAAGGGAGAATTTTAAAAAAATCACCATTTTGCAAAAGCCGAGGAAACAATTGATTTGGGCAGTGATCATCAATAGGCATTATAAAGCCTATTGGGTGTTACAGGTGAAAGGATGATGGGGAACAATATACGCACAGGGTGCTGGACGGCTCGCTGGCTGTAGGGGAGTGTGGACTTCGTCACGGGAGCCAGATTGTCACCGGTGTTAGCTGCAATGAAGCTCAACATCACAGTAAAGGGACCTGCAGCCTCAAAAGTAAGTTCACAGCTTCTCCTACAACACATCTTGCCAAAATGTTAAACCTGACTCTGATTAAGTCTCTCAGCCTAGCATCCAGTTTGCAGAAAATGGAAAGGGTCGAGAGACAAGTTAAACAACAGTATCGGGGGCGCCTGGGTGGCACAGTCTGTTGGGCGTCTGACTCTTGGTTTCAGCTCAGGTCGTGATCTCAGGGTCATGGGATCGAGCCCCGTGTCCAGCTCTGAGCTCAGCAGGGAGTCTGCTTGAGATTCTTCCTCCCCCTCCCTCTGCCCCTCCCTGCCCCCTAAAATAAATAAAATCTAAAAAAAAAAAAAAAAAAATTTGGAAGCAGCAGACAAATCCAGAAGCTGGGGTGTCTCTTCAACAAGTCAGTCCTAGAAAAAAGGAGTGGGGACTTTTCTAGGGCCAAATTGTTCTTTGTGGTAGGGGACTGTCCTTGCATCATAGGATGTTGTGCATCATAGGGTATTGAGCAGCGTCCTGGCCACCACTAGACACCAGTAGCACCCTCCCTTCCCAAGTATGACAGCCAAAGAGGTCTCTAGACTGAGCCAAATGTCCTCGGAAATACTACCCTGGGATCGAGTCCTGCCTCGGGCTCCCCGCTCAGCGGGGAGCCTGCTTCTCCCTCTGCCTGCTGCTCCCCCTGCTTGTGCTCCCTCTTTCTCTGACAAATAAAATCTTTAAGAAAAAAGATGATCTTGGGAAAACACTGCTGGAAGTATTGCATCATCAGAGCCAAAAGAAAGGTTGGGAAAAAAGGAATGAACTGAGATTTAAAAATAAAAACAACAAAAGTCTGAGAGGTGATCCCCTAAATACTTGGGCTTTGAGAGAAAATGCTTGGGGCACATGCGTATTTACATGAACTTATGTCCACCTAAGCAGGACTCCCTGCTTTTTATTTATTTGAGAGAGAGCAAGAGAGGGAGAGGGAGCATGAGCAGGGGGGAGGGGTAGAGGGAGAGGGAGCATGAGCAGGGGGGAGGGGTAGAGGGAGAGGGAGCATGAGCAGGGGGGAGGGGTAGAGGGAGAGGGAGCATGAGCAGGGGGGAGGGGTAGAGGGAGAGGGAGCATGAGCAGGGGGGAGGGGTAGAGGGAGAGGGAGCATGAGCA